TCCGTCGGAAATGCAGGCTCAGCCAGGGTGGCCCAGCCTTTCCCGCGGCCCCTCGCCCTGACCAGGGAGGAAGGCGAGGGCTGAGCGGCGGGCGCAGGAAGGGCTGGGACAGACAGACGGACGGATGGAGCCACAGGGTGCGTCCTGCCTTCCGTCGGGGCAGCCACAAGACTGCGGTGACTTCCCGGGTGCTCCAAGGGGCAGCGCCCCTGCTGCCGAAAGTCACTCAGAAAAGGACGCCCACGCGCCCACCTGGCAGGGTCACGCGGACAAGCGCAGACCCGGCCTACGCCTGGAAGGTCAGCCCCCAGGGGAACAGGCGTCTCTCACTCATTTACTGACCTAGTGGGGAAGGAAACAAACCTTTACCCACCGCCACCCCTACCCGAGATGCAGCCGTGAGACGCAGGTACAGGACAGTGTGCGCCCAGGGACAGGGCCCCGCCCCCGCAGGCCCCGCCCCCGAAGGCGTGTCCACAGCAGACAGACACAGGGCTGCTCCAGGGACAGCCTGGGACCCTCCCACTGAGGACAAGGACGAGGACCTGGGGCCAGAGGTGAGAGGCCTGGCTGGGCAGCCATGAGAACGGTGGGCTGGGAGGTGGGGGGGGAGGGGGGAGGGGAGCAGAGGAAGGGGAGGAGGGAGACCCAAGGTCTGGGTTAGGAGGCCTGGGGAAGGCCTGCTGCCTGGGGTGTGAGAAGGTGGGGAACTGTGGGGGCGGGTCGAGGAGGCAGACTCCCTGGTTAACAGGTGAGGAGGGCACAGGGAAAGGCCTGGAGTGTCCCCAGGCTGCCCCCTCCCGGCCCAGCCATCCTAAGGCACCAGCTAGACAGTCGGACACACCCTCCCAGCCCCCTGCCGGCCTGGTGGGCACCAGGGTCCCCCCACCATGGGGCTACCACAGGATACTCTCAGCACTCAGCAGTACATGATGGGGCGAGGGAGCTGGGAGGCCTCTCGTGTTTGCGCTGGAGAAGAACTAGGCCTCCCCAGTGTGCACAGGAGGGAGGGTCAGGACAGAGCCCACACGGCTGACGGACAGGGAGGTGTCTCAGGAGCCCGCAAGGACCAGGCATCAGACAGGAGCCGGGGGCCACTCTGACACCCCCGCCCCGCTGCTCCACCAGGACCCAGTTCAGTGGTCTGCAGAGAAGGGTCCCACAGACACCAGCCACAGCTTCAGCTACGCTGACCTCATGCTCCCCAACCTCGTGCTCTTCGTGGAGACAAAATGCAGCAGCTAGTCACATGTGCGCCTGTCCCCGAGAGCCACCAGGTTACCCACCGTGTCCGTCTGTCCCCGAGAGCCACCAGGTTACCCACCGTGTCCGTCTGTCCCCGAGAGCCACCAGGTTACCCACCGTGTCCGTCTGTCCCCGAGAGCCACCAGGTTACCCACCGTGTCCTTCTGTCCCCGAGAGCCACCAGGTTACCCACCGTGTCCGTCTGTCCCCGAGAGCCACCAGGTTACCCACCGTGTCCGTCTGTCCCGAGAGCCACCAGGTTACCCACCGTGTCCGTCAGAGCACTCGAGGCCCTGGGTGGCAGGAAGGGCTTCCTTTTGCACAAACTATAGGGTGTTCGTTCCCCTGGCTTCGGGGTTTTTACAAGCTGGTTCCCTACATGGGCACACGTGTAAATGCTCAGAAATCATGGATACCTTAGCCAGGAGCATCTGTGAACACACACATGCACACACACACTATACACAGTATATGTACAAACACTGTACACACAGATGGTACACACACAGTGCACACACACATGCACACACAGTATACACAAACACACAGTGCACACACATGGTACACACAGCACACACACGGTGCACACAGCACACATGCACACACAGTACATGTGTATACATAGCACATAGTACACACATGGTACACACATAGACACAGAAAGTACACACATGGTACACACCTGATGTACACAGTACACACACGATGTACACACAGTACACATGATACACACATAGTACACACACGGTGCTTCTTTCCCTCATCCGCACGCAGAACCTCTGTCAAGGAGATGCCCTAAGTCGGGGCCACCACGTCCCACTGTGAACACCCCAAGGCTCCGACGAGGCTGGGCCACAGACAGTCACATAGGGCGAGAGCCAGGTGACGCATCTAAATCCCACTTCCCTCAGGGACCCAGGACGGCTGACCCTTCTCAGGCCTCACATCCAGACTGTCCCCAGCTGAGCCAGCAGGCCGTGCGGTGTGGCCAGCACAGCCCGTTGGGGGGTGCCCATCACTGCCCCTCCCCCAGGCTGGGAAGGTGCTGGGCGTGTGGGGCCGGTGTTCACAGGGCCCTGGAAGAAAAGTGAACTCACAAGGGCACTCGTGGGTACTTCCAGAAGGGAACACCCCAAGATTTACACGCTAGGGCCACCTGCATAGCCTCAAATCACCCCAGTTCCCGGAGGCGGCCTGAAGGCCACGCTGCCCTCCCCAGAGGGACAAGCCCAGGCCTGAGCTGTGGGTCCCGCACTCTGTCCCCCACGGGCCCAGACCGACCACTCCCCCAAATGCAGGACACAGTGTGACCCTGAGGAGGGAATCCGGAACTTGAAAGCCCCCTCTCACTTTTCCTGTGCCAAGCGGAAGTCCCCCCCTTTCTGAGACTGGCCCTCAGCGCCCCGAGCACAGCTACGACTGTTTACGCTCAAGTCACGAGACGTCTCGACAGCTTCCGCAACACGAGCAGGACAGCAGCGCTCGGGCCCCTGAGCCTGTCACTCATCCTGGGCCCCTGCCGCTCGCCTGCGGACTCGGAACCGGGACGGAACCGGGACGAGGCAGACACCCACTGGCCACAGCTCGAATGAGACGCTGAGAGCCCAGGACAGTCCACCAGAGGGGAGGAGTGAGCTGGTGAACAGATCCAGAGAAACAAAGACTCCTGGGAGCCCAAAGCAAGCCAACAACAGATGGCGTCACCACGGCTGGGAAGTGGCAGGGGGGACGCGGCCAGGAGGCTCGGTGGCTCAGGTGCCCGACCGCCTGCCCTCACCTCGCTGTCTCGCCCTTTCTGAGCTCACCGCTGCCCTCGGCTGCTGAGGACGCCCGCCTGCCCGAGGCTGCCCGCCGACTCCACCGCCCACCTCTGGGCTCACTTTCACATATAAAGTCCGTTTTCACAACTTTCTTTTTTCACATTTAATCTGTGGGTGCAATAGTTGCTCCTCACCGGCAGTGGGGTCCCCACTCTCCTGTGTGCTTTCTTACACACACAGACCGGAGAGTGAGCAGCACGCAGACCACTATCTGACCACGTCTCAGACCACTATCTGGACACGTCTCAGACAACTATCTGACCACAGCGCAGACCACTATCTGGACACGTCTCAGACAACTATCTGACCACAGCGCAGACCACTATCCAACCACATCGCAGGCATGCGGACTAGAGGTCGACACGCTGCAACATGTATGCATGGGGACCTGCCTCCCCGCCCCTGCAGACACAAGACCACTGTGGGCGTCGGGGGATGTCACACACACCACGGCCTCCACAGGCCTCCACTCCCGCCGCAGACTTTCTCGTTCGAGTGCACGTATTTCCAGAGAATAGCGTCGGGAACTGGGAGAGAGTGGGGGCCTGGTGGGGCCTCTCAGTGCCAAGCTTTGAAGAGTGACATTTAAAAACAGAATAAAACAGCATCACCTCTGAGCAGCCTCCCTCCCTCCCCAGGGCACCCCAGGTGCCCCTGCGCCTCCCCCCTCTGGCCACACCGCCCGTTTCCGACCCCGTAAGATAAAAGGGGCTGGTGCCTGGTCTGTCTGCTGGGCGGGGCGGCGGGGCATCCGTGTCAATTCCTCTCTAAGCGTTTGGGAGAAGTCGCCAGCGGAACCGGCTGCGTGTGCCCTGCACCCGCTGAGGACATCCCCCTCACTGCCGGCGTTTCTCCCAGAGCGGAGCGGCCACACCTCGGGAAGGTGCTGCGGGCTGGCTGGGCTCTCGTCCACGCCCAGGACGTTCACGTGGCCAGCACGTGGGGCTGTTCGGGGACAGCTGTGCGTGTGTGTACAGACGGAGGCGACTCCCCCGCGTGATTCCCTGAGTGACTCCTCGCAGAATAGAGAGGGCTGCGCCTGCCGAGCCTGTGCTCACGCACCGGACAGGCCGTCGCCTCCTGGCCTGCGCGCCTGATGCTCACGGGACGCAGTCACGCGTCTCACCGGCTAAGAAGGTGGCCAAGTAACTGCCAGGCTCTGCCTGGGAAGAGGCACTTCCGGCCCACGAAGGAAAAGACGGCACTTCTACAAAAGGTGCAGGTCTCCTCTGGAGAAAGGGGGTGGAGCCGCGGCCCCCCCACAGCCGCTCCGGGGCAGCGGCAGCTTCCGACAGTCCCGGCACCCGGCCGAAGGCCACAGCCGGAGCCCTCGCGGCCAGAGCAGAAAGCAGAGCGTGACGAACCACAATGTGAAGAAAAGTCCTTTGAAGGTGTGCGTGGGCTTTGGCTGCACCTTCCCCAGGTGCCCGAGGTCGGCCCATCGGGACTCTCAGGGCGAGTGGGGAACACCCACCGGGAGGGGGGTGGAGCACCAGCATCACCACCCCTTAGCGCTCCCCCCGGCCCTGGCTGGGGGTATCTCAGCTCGGTGCCCGTGTGGAAAGTGCCGGAAGCCGGCCCTCCCCGGGAAGGAGCTCCAGGACAGTATGCAGCAGCGAGGACGTAGGCGCAGGGCTGGTCAGGGCGACCAGGCAGGGCGAGGGCCCCCCTCTCTGTAAAGAGGGTTCCAGTTTCTTCCTTCAACTCTGCGTCCTGCTCCCAGGGGTGAACAGCCCTGCCGCTCAGCTGCCAGGCCGTGACCCTTCCCAAGGAGCGCGCTTGGCGGTGCTGACGGCAGGCAGAGATACGACCCGGTGCCAACCCAGCCGGCTGCATGGGGCACCCCGCCCCCGCCCCAGAGCCACCCTCTTTCTGCGGCTGAGCGGCGACGCGTCCAGGAGAGGGTGCCCGGAGGAGAGAGGGGCGGCTCCTTACCGTGAGCCGCGCGGTAGAGGCCGCAGGCAGTGCCCATCGGCCCGGGCGGGCTGAACGCGGGGTGATGCGGGTGGGTGGTCACTGGAAAAGACGGCAGAGTGAGCAGCCACCCACGTCCTCCCGAAGTCACGGTGGGCGCGTGAGGTGGGCCCCCCTTACCATACGGAGTCTGCGGAGACACGGGGAAGCCCGGCACGGGCGGCAGGGACTCGCCGCCACTCTTGCTTGGAGAGAAGACCCTGCCGTCAACCCCGTCGAGGCTCGGTGGACACACGGCTATCGCCGTCTGAAAGTGACACGGTGGGCTCAGCCACGGGTGAGCGTGGGGGCGAGGCCAGCCCTGTCCCTGCAGGGGCACGACGCCTTCGGGGCGACGCTGGGTGAATCACCATGCCCTCCGCTGTGTCACCGGCTGCAGCGGCAGGACGCACCCCGAGCGCTCACACAGGGTCTGCGCTGTTAGGACCACGGGCGACCCTCCCCTGGTCTATCCTGGGCCCCCCTTCTCCACCTGCAGGACAAGTGAAACCCTGGAGGGTTTGGGGTTCGCCGACCTGTCTCCCTTCGGTTCTGGTAACAGCCTTCACTGCGCTTCCCGGCAGACGCCCCACGGGGTGCCCTGCCCACACCGCCGCCTGCACCCTGCTTCCCCCCAGGGCCCGATGGCTGGCTGGGGGTCTGGGCCGCTGGGTGGCTCTGGGAGCCTGCTCACCTCCGCTGCTGCTGACCCACTGACCTCACCCTGCGGCCCCCCTCAGCCCCCACGGCCTCGCTCCTCGGCCACACACGCAGGTCTGAGCAGCGGCTCCCGGGCTCAGACTGGCTGAACGCACACGGGCACTCTTAGGGGGCCCTGTCTGGGGACGGGGTGGGGGGGCCTGCGGTTCGCGACAGGCCCCTCAGGGTGGTGGCCGTACCTCTTTGGCGTCTGTGGGAGACAGGAAAGGCGCCAGGCCAGGGGCCTGCTCGACGCCCGCGGGCTGCCCCCACCCGCCTCTAGAGAAGGCCGGCGGACCCCCTGCGTCATTGTCGTACTGCCCGAGGCTCAGCTTCCGGAACCTTCTGCCCAGCAGGGCGTCGCCCGGGGAGCCTGTGAGGAGAGACACATGGGCTGCGGGAGCCTTCGGCCGCCGGTGGGGTTTCTGACACTGTCCAGGTCCCCCGCTTCCCCCGTGCTGGCGCGGGGAGGGGTCTGCCCCTCGGCGGCATCTGGAACACGCTTGCACGCGGTAGGTGTCCAGGAAGCAGGAGGACCCGCGCCCCGAGCCGCAGGAGGACACCAGGGCCACTCGACGGGCGTGAGTGCCTGGGGCTCGCGGCTGGAGACCTGCACCCTCACCCGCCTTCCCGTTGGGCGTCAGGGGCCACCCCGGGGTCAGGGGCTGGCCTCCTGCTTCCTGGCCTCGAGGGGGCAGCGGCTTCTGACACCAGAGACCCGTGGTGCAGACACACCCACCCGCCCACACGGCCGGTCTCCTCCTCCGCCTGCGGCCTTTCTGTCCCGGCACCCCTCAACCCCACCCCGTCCAGCCCCGACTTCTGACCCGCTCGTGACCCGGCAGGCCTGAACCCTGCCCCCCTGTACTGCAAAGTGTCCCGGACGCTTCTTACTGCAGCCCTGGCTGCTCGGGCGTCGGGGCTGCTGCAGAGGGTCAGGCAGCCCAGGGCACCCTCAGGCTCCTGGGGTGCAGTCAACCGCCTGGAGCCCAGCAGCACCTGCCAGCCTCCCCCCGCCCCTTCCAGAGGCTCCTGCTGGTGCAGCCAACGCCGCTGAGCACGAGGGGCCTGTGAGCCCCAGCGCTGTGTGCGGGGCCCTGGGCACCCCGACAGTCACACCTCCCAGGGCCCCTTTGCAGCCTGGGGCAGACTCCTGCCCTGCAGAGGGGACCAGACCTCCCGCGCTGTGTGCGTGTCCTCGTCCGATCCCAGAGGAGACTGAACCCCGTCTTCTGGGCGTGTGTGGTGGCTCCGGCGACCCCTCGCATTCCTCGGGCCCCTGACCTCCGTGCGTCCAGGCAGACGCGTCTCTCCAGAGACAGGCAACGCGGTTGGCGGGCCCACAGTGAGCCGCGCTGCCCCGAGTTCCGGGAACGAGCTCCGACGTGCGTCCCCACCCCCATGACTGCATCCGTCCCGGCCACCGGCGGGCCGTGTTCTTCAAGACCCGGGCGGCTTTTGTAAGAAATTCTCAGTCCCAGCGTCAACCTACTCAGGACGTCGGGGGACACTCCCGAAGCCGGGCCTCTGGGTGCCCCCCGGGCTGGCCAAGCGGGGTGCGAGCCCAGGGAAGGGCCTCCTACCTCTTGGGTGGCAAACAGAGAACCCTTCCCCGGAACACGGACGCGCTGGCTGGGTGGCGGGAGAGGATGTCCGAAAGGCGAGGGGTCCACCTCCCGACAGAACTCAGCAACGCTCCCATTTCTACTCAGACTCACTGCTGTTTACAGCCCGGACCCGGAAGCTGCAGGGATGACTCACGCGGGCAGAGCCGGGCGCCGGGCTCCCTCCCTCCGTGCCTCTGCGCCTATCTGAACGTCTTCCCTTCTTTCGACCACCCCTCCGCCCAGCCCTGGGTCTTACTGGCCTCTCCTCACACTTGTCATCTTTCAGCCACTCGGACGGCCCCAGGCCGTCCCCCTTCAGGGCCACCTCCAGCGGACACGCTGTGGGAGGAGCACACAGCTCTCGCCCAGAAGCCGGACGGCACGCGTCCTGAGCTCCACCCGCCGCCTCCCCCTCCCCCGACAGGATGAGCGAGCCGTTCGCCCGGCGCCCCCAAGGGGGTCCTCTGCGCAGGCCAGCTGGTGTCCACCCAGGACACAGCTCCCGGAAACGAGCCACCCACACCGGAGAGTCACACGGCCGAGGGGCAGCTCCTCGGCCACGTGAACAAAGAACTGGAAGCAGGTGTTCAAACAAACACTCGCCCCATGTGTTCCTCGCAGCCCCGTGGTCGCCAGAGGCGGCGACGACCCGACCGTCCGTCAGCGGAGGAGTGGACGGCTGCCCACACGCGCCATCCACGCTGCGGAGGTCACTCGGCCCTGAACAGGGACAACTGACCCCGACAGTGTGGGGGGCCTGGATGATGATGCTCAGTGACAGGCGCAGACACCAAAGGCTGTGTCACCTGACCCCACCCACACGAAACGCCCCAAACAGACCAGAGGCCGAGGGGCTTTGGGGGGGGGCTGCTCACGGCCCGGGCATCTCTGGGGCAGAAGGAAAGTGTGGGAGCCGGAGGAGGTGAGGCCGCAGCTCCGTGAGGTTTCTGACGCTGCTGAGCTGTGCACAGTACAGGGGACGGCTGGTGCCTCCCGCCAGGCACAGTGTCGTGGCCGCAGACCACTCGGCGTGACGCGCGTGGCAGAAGTGACTGCGCCCGAGCTGTAAACAATCTCCGTGGGCACACTGTGTCCCCGCCACAGCTGGACCCCCGTGCCCGTCACTGATGGTAGACGCCCGGGGCACCCCCGTCTCCTGACCCGGGTGGCACCCCACCCACACAGAGGTGCTCAGAGGTGACTGGCTGTCCTGGTGCCAAAGTGACCCAGGGCTGAGGCATGGCGCCGCCTCCCGTGTCCGTGGGCCCCTCCCACGTGGGCTCCGCGCAGGGCAGTAGCCGAGCACTTTCTCACGCCGATGCAGCAAAGAGGCGCAGGATTGACTGTGTGTCACCGACATCGGTGGGCTTCCTTCCACCACCCATGACGGAAAGCCGGCACTTTGCTCTGCCCTGAGCATGCTCTGCAGAGACGCATCATGACGCAGGGGTGTCCGTCAGCCGCGTCCGTGTCCGTCAGCCGCGTCCGTGTCCGTCAGCCGTGTCCGTGTCCATGTCCGTGGGAGGACGTGAGGAGTGGGGCCTGCCAGGACCCTGACTGTAGGGTGGAGGTCGATGTCACACGAATAACGTGTTTTGAGAACAGGAAGCGAAGGGCCCTCGGCACGAGGAAAACAGCAGCTCCTGCGCCCAGGGGACCCTGACCGCTGTGGACGTGACGGACCGGAAATGTGGGGCAGCCGACAGAGCGAGCGTCTCCTCGGAGTCCCAGGCCCTCCGTCTGGGACGTCAGAGCCACGTCCACCGTGAAAGGAACCGGAGATCATCTAACAGCAACATCACCAGTCCGGCAGCTGCCCTGGCGGTGGCTCCGTGGGTGAGCTCACCCCAAACACCGAGGAAGGCGTCAGCGCGATTCCGGCAGGGCGCACGCCCGGGTTGCGGGTTCGATCCCCAGCTGGGGCACATGCAGGAGGCAGCCTATCCATGTCTCCCTCTTTCTCTCTAAAAATCAATTTTTAAAAGTTCTTAAAATAAAACAAAAACACACCCGGGAACTGAAGTGGCCAGTTTACAACGAGCAGTCTCAGCCCACGCCAGGGGCAGCGACGGAGGGACTGGGGTTCCTCTCACTGTCTTCCATTGAGACGAGAACTGGGGACCCCTAGGGGCTGCGGAACATCAGCTGGAAAACATGGACCTCAAGCCACTGGCGGGTCACCTGAGCCCCGAACCCCTTTCCCCACAGCTGCTCAGACTCCTCCAACTCCCCGAATCTCGAGAGTTTCATCCAGAACACGTCTGGTTTCAGCGTTTCCGAGCGGCTGCCCAGCAGCGGGCTTGGTGAGGCCCGTCGCACGCTGAGGCTGCTCTCCTGCGCGTGGCCGAGTCCCCGGGGCCGACCCCCGTCCCGAGCCCAGCTGCTGACCGTCCACCGTGGGAGCCAGCTTCTCCCGGCTCAGGACGCACAGGGTCGCAGGTCCCCAGACAAGCTGATGAGTCACATTGCTCCTCGCGACTCAGGCGCAGGACCGGTGCGTGCAGACCGCAGCGGCCTCGACGCCTGGCCTGGGCTGGGCCGTCTCCTCCGTGCGGGACCTTCCGGACCCACATTCTCCCGCGGCCTCCACACTTCTGCCCCGCACGCTCCCAGGGTCACAGCGCCCCCTGCCTGCTGATGTCCGCCCAGGCCCCCAGCCAGCTCCCTCGGCCCACAGCCTTGTGCCTCCCCCAGTCAGACAGCACGTCACAGACCGATCCCAGCAGGTGCCCCAGGTTCCTGTCGCCCCACAGCCACCCGCTCAGCCGCGCGGCCTTCCCAGGACTAGCAGCTGAGCAGGAAGGTCCAGACTGGTCCCCCACCACCACTCATCCCAGGGATAAGGGCCTGTGTGGACCCACCTCTGCGAAGGCGCCTGTAGGGCCCCCCCCCAGGCTGCACCCCTCCTGTGCCGGGGGCTGGAGCCTCACGACCCGGGTCTCCCTGCACCTCAAAGCCCGACTCTCCTGAGCCTGCCCCCCCCCCCCATCCCTCCACACCCCTGCCCCCGCGTGGCCAGTTCAGGGCCATCTCACGCACCAGGACCTCCCTGGCCCTCAGGCTGTGCACAGGGCAGCTGTGCCCTCCACGCCCCTCGGGCCAGCGAACCGGACTCTGCTGAGGCTGTGCTGCAGAGCGTGGACGTGTGAGCGGGCACCGCGAGACGCCGACTCACCTTGCTGCGCCGGGGCCCCGCCGGGGTCCTCTCCTCGGCCCTGCAGGCGGACGCTCGCCCGGGGCCTGCCCCCTGCGCCGGCCGGGGCTGTGGGGCCATTGGCCGGGCTGCCCAGCATGTTTATGTGGGTGGGGAGGGGCTCGAAGGTGGGGTCCAGCTCCAAGATCAGCCTGTTCAGCTGCTCGATGGACTGGTCAATGTCCAGGGTGGGCGAGCCCGGGGCGGGGGCTGGGCTGGGCTCCGGGCCCGTCCCGTTCACGACGCTGGCGTCCGGGAACCTGGCTTTGAACGTTTTGCCAGGAGGGGGCCGCTGGGTGTCGGGGGCATGGGGCCCGGGGCCTACGCCCCTCTGTGTGGCCACTCTGCTGCTGGCCCCCCGGGTGGGGGTGACCGGGAGCCTGGGCTGGGACGGCACCACACGGGAACTGTCCGCGGAGCCGCGGCTGGCGAGCCGGACCTCCCCGTCAGCGGCGAAGCTGTACTGGTGGGCAGCCACCCTCTGCTGCTGGCGCACCCAGGTGTGGGTGGGGTAGCCGCTCTGCTCACAGGCCTGCATCTGGGCGGACACACAGGGCGTCCCGAGCTCCGGCTGCGGCTGCTTGGGCTCCCGGCTCCCGAAAGCCTCCTGCGCGTACAGGGGCTCCGTGCCCAGACCCAGGTCCGGGCCCAGGGCGCCGTGTGGGTCTTCTCCGGCGCTGCCCCCGAACCCGTCAGACAGGAGCGAGTTGCGGCTGCTCTGGTGGCAGGCGAAGGGGCCCAGGTGGGCCGACGGGTGTCCCTCGGAGGAGGACAGGGTCCCGATGCTGCCCATGCTGTGCAGGTCGTGGCCGGGCACCTCGTCGTCCAGTATGTCCGTCTCCCGGTCCTTCAGCGTGGCGTCTCCGTTCACGTGGACCTGGGCCGGCACGACGTGGCGGGTCCCGCTGAACTTGCTGCGCGCATCGGTCATCTCCTTGAGGGGGCTTCCGGCGTCTTCCAGGCCAAAGCCGCTGAGCAGCTGATCCAACTCAGCCTTCTCCTGGGGGCTCAGGCCCCGCTTGGGTCCCAGGGCCACGCGCTCCTCAGTCCTGTCTGTCCGCACCGAGGCCGTGGAGTGGCCCGAGTCGCTGCTGACCGACAGGGTGTGGTCGCTGTGGTCCGGGCTGCTGGCGGCGGGGACCGCCGGGGCCCCGCCCGAGACGCCAGGGTCCGAGGCGCTCTTCTTCCTCACCTTGGCGTAGAGACTGCCATCCACGGGGCCCTGCGTGTGCGGCACTGGGGAGAGAGCGGAGAGGGCGGTCAGTCAGGGCGACGGGCGGCGGGCCCCGGGACGGTGCATCTGCCCGAACAGACAAGTGCGTTCCTAGCAGCCAGGGACAAACACTCCTCCAGGATCCCCAAGTCCACGGCCCCGAAGGCCAGCGGAAAGCAATTCAAGTGATCAGCTTCAGACCCCGGAAGGTCTCTGCCTCTTTGTGCAGAGACGGCCGCTCAGTCACCGCCTGGAGGGCTGTCGCCGCCATCGCCGGGCGAATACTCAGCTCAGCCCACACGTGCCCCGGACGGTGGCTTCCCGAGCACAGCCGCCGGCCCCCACCCTGGCCTGTGAAAGCAGAACACTCCCGCGACCCAGGGAGACACCGAGAGCCACTCAGTCCGAGGAGGTCACTCAACAGAAAGAGAAGGGGCGGGACTGACCCGTCTCCCTGTCACTGTGCGTCTCTGGGCCGGAGGGCCCGGTGCTCTCGGGGTGGGACTGACACGGACACAGACACCCCCCCCCCCGATCTCCAGTGATGCTCAGAGAAGTGAGGCCTCGAACGTCGGGGAAGAGCAGAGCCCTGTTAACTGCGCCCTGCTGGCCTTCAGACGGTTCCCGCCGGGTCCCCGAGAGCTGGGAGAGGCACCGAGGGCGCCGGGAGCCGGCTGTCAGGGCCTCCGTCTTCCTCCTCCCCGGGGACTGTGGGAGCCACGGCGAGCTGCCGAGGGCCTGGCCACAGCCCCTGGGCCCCGGGGCCCCGCACCCCGCAGAGCCAGGGTCTAGGCCCCTCCACAGGGCCCTGCCCGAGCACCCGGCTCCAGCCCTGCTGGGCGCAGCACATGCCCACGGTCAGCAGTTCTGCCTTTTATGGGAAACACTGGTGACACGTCAGCTCAGAGGCCTGAGGGGCGTTGGGGTGCTGTGCCCAGAGCACATGGGGCCCAGGGCGTCCCTGTTTCAAGTGCACCCCGGGGAGCGGGATGGGAAGCGATGTGGGGTGGCCACCCCGGGAGACAGGCCATCCCGAAAGCTCCCTGCGCTCAGCCTCAGCTGGAGGTGGGAACAGACCCCAAGACAGGCAACGGGGCAGGGCCTCGAGGCAGCTGTTGGCTTCGCCTTGGCAGTCACTCGGGCGACGGTCAAGGCCACGGTGTTGACTGAGCACCTGTTCAGGGGGGCGCCTACCCGCTTCTCCAACCTTCAGAGCAGGGCCCACCTGGCAGCTAGCGCTTGCTCCTTTCTGCAGGTGCGCACACCTGAGGCTGGGACCACGCGTAACTCGCCCGAGGTCGGGAGGCTGCTGGGAGCTGAGCCCACAGCCCACCCGCCGAGACAGCAGCCCCGCCCCAGCCAGGCGGCACGAACCTGGGCTCTGAACCGGGTCCACCTGGCCCTGGGCCCGGGCAGAGCTGGTCCCCCACATGGAGCTCTGGGAGCTGACGCCCAGAAGGGGGCCCCCGACCTCAAGCCCCGCCCAGAGATCACGCCTGCGACGTCAAAGTGCCACCTGGACATGAGTCACTGGGGAGACACCGCTGGGCCCGTGCAGACAGCCGGTGGGTGGAGCAGGAGCTCGGGCATCGGGCCAGCTGGGCCCTGGGCACCGAGCCGTGTGTCCCCATCTTTGCCTCCCAGCTGTGGGGTGAGCCTGTGGGGGCTCCACGCGGGGCCTGACAGGAGCATCACAAGACACAGCACAGCTCTGGCTGGTCTGGCTCAGCGGCTGGAGCATTGGCCAGCGGACCAAAGAGTCACAGGTTCGATTCCGGTCAAGGGCACGTACCTCAGTTGTGGTTCAGTCCCTGACCCCAGTCGGGGTCGTGCAAGAAGCAGCCAGTCATTGTATCTCTCTCACATCAATGTTTCTCTCTCTCTCTCTTTCTCCCCCCCCCCCCTATCTGAAGATAGGAAAAAAGAGAAATAAATAAGTAAAAGAAGACCCAGCACACAGTGTCTTCACAGTCCTAAAGAGAGTGTTTAGCCCGGCTTCTGCTGGAGACACTCTGTCCCAGGAAAACCCAGCCGCCCCCAGGCCCGGGGGTTAGGGCTCCCCCTCCCCCCTTCCCCGTGCAGGGCGTGAGCTGGAGACAGGTGGCCTCGCTCAACGCTCCTGCCCCTGAGGATGACGCACGGAAGGCCCAGACCAGCCCCAGGACAGACCACGGCCAGAGCCGGGACCCAGCCAGAATAGCTCTCCCGCTGCAGAGACTGTGCACGCGTGACCCCGTCCCCTCCCTAAACCCGAATTACACCGCTGGCCCAGTGATTCACAGAGACGCCCAGAGTCGTACAAAACTCCTCGGAGTTGGGGGCCCTGCCCCACACGGCCGTCGACGTTGGCGGTGGAGTCTGCTGCCAACCCAGCCGAGACGTCCGTGAGGCCTTCTGGGAACATGAAGGGCAGGTACCTCCCTGCCTAGGGCCTGAGAGGAACCCTATTCTCATCTCATTAGGAGTCGGAACCTCGAAATACTAACGAGCGCGTTCAACACAACACGGCGAAGGCGGCCGAGCGCTCAGCCCCAGAGCCGCAGCCCTGGCCCCCCCACCCACCTCCACCAGCCCCCAGACTCGAGGGCGGCCGGGCGGAGGCTGGGCTCAGCCGCCTGGGGAACTCCGAGGGCTGGCAAGGCCCCACCACCTCAACGCCCAGCAGGTGGGCATCACGTCGCGCGCGGGCCCGGCACCCGCTTCTGAAGGGCACGTTTCGGCTGGATTCCAGCTCGGAGGAAGCAGAGACCCTGGTCCTCGGCGGGGAGGCAACCGCCCGGGACCCTGCAGCTCGTCACCAGCAGATGCAGGACAAGCCCCGCGTCCCTCTGTAGCCCTTTCCCTTCCCGCCCCCACCCCGCAACCAGAGCCGAGGCCCCCGCAAAGGTCCCAGCCTGCGGCGCGATGATGTCCCTGTGGCCAGGGCCTGGTTGACCATCACACACACAAACACGGCCCAGGTCCGGCCACCCAGGGAGACCCAGGGAGGTGCTGCACCTGGGCAGCACGGGGGGGAGAAAGTGGGGTGCACGTCTGTGCCTCAGTGAGGGCGGCGGCTGCCGTGACCAACCCCACCCACCCGGCTCCAGAAAGGTGCCCCTCACAGGACGGCAAGAGGGGCTCAGAAAACATTTCCAGACCATCTGAGGCAACGGGGAAGCCCCAAATAAATGAAGACACCCCTCCGCACCATGGCTGAACACACCCCAACAACGCCACCTGTGCACTCAGGTGCGTGTCCAGGTGTGGCTCCCAGGTGTGTGCTCACAGGTGCGTTGCCTCAGCCAGAGAGAAGGGCTCCTTCCAGTGCCGGCCTCTGGGCCGCCGCAAAGGTGCAGAAATGACTGTGAAGCCCCAGCCCTGCTTCCAACGAAAACTCGATCTAAGACCACGGTGGACAGACCCCGCGGCCCGCCCAGCCACCTGGTCTCTGCAGAACTCTCTGCCTCTACGAATCGTGCAGACCTGTCGACAGCTCTGCTGAAAGAGCAGCTTCTCCTTTCAAAGAGCTGAGTGCCCTCCCTGCAGGCCTCTCGTGGAGGGACCCAGAAAACGCGGCACCGGCAGGGCTGCCCGGACGGACACTCGGCAGGGCCTCCCACGTGGGCGGCCAGCCTGAGGCAGGGACAGGACCCCGGGGAGGGAGGCGGGTGCGAGTCCCAGGTGTTCTATGGGCAGCAGAGCCAGAGCAGGGAGCAGGGTGAGAGAAGGTGAGTTATTTCCACGTCGAGGAGAGAGAATGCCGGAAACGCCGGCTCCTGCCGCCAGGCTGATGGTCTGCAGACAGACAACAGGTCCATTCTGGCGCCTCCCGTGGCCAGGACCCTGGGGCGCCCAGCGCGACCTCTGAAGTCTCCACACGCGGACCCGCAGGGGCCGGAGACCCCATTCACAGCTGAGAAACAGCCCAGCCCTTCGAGGCAGCCGCTGACAACACCAGGGACTCGGGCTCGCCCCACGCCCGCCCGCGCTGTTCCGGTAACCGCGGGGATTCCAGCCCAGCCCACCACGTCCACGTGGAATTAGCAATTTAATTTTGGAAAGGAATTTGCCTGAGTGTTTTCTCTGCAACTTCACACACACGCACACACACACAGACGCACACACACACATACACACACACAGACACATACAGACGCACACACAGACACACACACAGACGCACACACACACAGACACACACAGCACACACACACAGACGCACACAGACATACACAGAGACACGCAGACACACACATACACATATATACACACACAGGCACACACAGACGCACACACAGACGCACACACAGACGCGCACACACACAGACACACACAGACGCACACAGACACACACACAGAGACACGCAGACACACACATGCACACACATACACATATATACAGACACACATGCACATATACACACAGATGCGCACACACAAGCACACGTGAAGACACATGCACATACACACATGCACACATACACACATGTGCACACATATGTATATGCGTGCACACACACCCCATTTTTCAGAAATGACTCAAGCACCCTGCTCCCCCCACAGCTCCTGCCCAGGCAGAGTCCTGGGCTCTGCACCGCTGGGTGGACGGGGCAGGTCCACATCCCTCCCTAGGCTGAAGCAGGTGCACAGACGGCGCATTTCTGCCCCCGGCGCATTTCTGCCCCTGGCCTGTTTCCTCCGCTCAGTTCATGCCCGAGCACCCACAGCCCCTATGGTCAGGACCCCCAGAGGAAGGCCCCCACCTGCCCTGACCCACCACGGGACAGGCCACTTCTCTGGACACGCCCCGCTGACCACACACGGTCACGTCTGCCCAAGGCAGCCCTGCGTGGACACTCTCCAGCTGGCCCTCACATACTCATCCACTTGGCCACCAGCTAACCACCCGGCAGGTCGCAATGTGCCCGCGAGTGCAGGCGGTGGACAGTGAGCCCCCCAACGCCCACGGCCACGGCAGTGCCCACAACCTCGGCCTCCCAGGAGAGTCCAGAGGAGAGACGCATGACGCCATCGTCTGCTCTGTGTCCACAGCTGTGCGTGAACACAACTCCACGGCCCCGCCTCCACTTGACACTGGGGGGGGGGGGATCCGCAGGAATGACGTGCAGAAAGAGGGGTTCTACCTTGGTTCTGTGGGTTCAGGACCGACAGCCAAACTCCTAGAACTGCACTTAATGGGGGTTCTACCTAAATCACACTTGACTTTAAAACGATCATGTCACAGTGGGGTGAGCCCCCCCTGCTGTGTTCCCTCCTCCTCCCCGCGCCCTCTCTTCCGGAACCTTCCCGACACCACGAGCGGCGATCCCGCCTTTCTCCTGGGACAGCTGTCTCGCCCCTGGCCTCCCCGGTGGCAGAAGCTCGCCGGCCTGGCCTGGGTCCTGGCTCCGTCACCGCTGTGACCTGGGGTGAGTTACTGGGCTCCGGGGCCTCACTTCCCTCATCGGTGGAGAGAAGGCTGCACGGGGTCACTGGGTCAGTTCAGGGACCTGGCGGCGGGAGAACAGGTGTGTCCCCTGGTGCCTAATGGACGAATCTACATACTCAGCTCCACTGACCTTGTTCTCGGCGAGCTACACTGACGGGCTATTGACATTTCTCCAAGGCAACGTGCAGCCTGTCTGTCTTCTCCCCTGGAGGTCTGGAGCCGGCACCAGCAGGTCGGCTTTTACTTGGTGGCGGTCAAGTTCCACCTCCGGGCCACGGAAGACGCCCGGCGCGTGCTGAGTTAGGGCCCAGGGCGGGGAAACCCAACCGCTGGGACCCGCCTGCACCAGGGCTGAGAGCACCCCCTTCAGTCTGCAAGAGCAGACCGGCCACTGCCCCGTCACAGCTGGAGGGGAGGGGCCTCCCCTCTACGGACCACCAAGTCCCCGAGGGCCGACGCGCCCGGCACCTCTGGACGGACAGACTCCCCCGCGCCCCCAGGCAGAGTTCCAGACATTCCTGAGGGCCTCTCCTCCCTGAGGGCACACGCCTGCTGAGCCCCACTCAGAGCTGCCAGGCAGGGCCGCCACGCCTGCCCAGGGGCCCCGAGAGCCACTGTCTTCGCGCCGGGTTGAGTTCTCTGCACACGTTTTCTAGAAACGAGCAGGCTCCGAGGTCTGCAGAAGCAGGTTAGAGGAAGAGAGGAGGGAGGCTTTCCAGTCTGAAGCAGATGCCTCCCCGGGAAGGTGCACCCACCGTGGGACCCAGCTTCGGGAGGGCCCGGTGCTCCCGTGGTCCCGGGCGCGGCTCGGAGTGTGGGGGTTCAGAGCGGGCTGTGCCTGGCGTGTCCTGGACGTGGCGACTGTCCGGCAGCCCCCCCGGGATCGCAGCTGCACCTCTCCCACACCCCGACTCGCCTGACTGTCCAGGGCACTGGCCCGGCCCCTTTCGGACACGCCCAACTCAAACATTTGCGCCCCAGAGAAGAGGCAGGAACAGTCTTCTGACCTGAGAACCAAAGGTCTCCCTGAGGACCTCACGTCCCTGCTCTGGCCGGTGGGAACGGCAGGTCTGATGTCACTCAGCTCCCACCTCCCTGCACCCCCCCAGCACCATCTCCTGCCCTGGGGGAGCTCTGTCTGCAACCTCAGACAGGCCGGCTGTCACAGGGCCCTGTGGCTTTGCAGAAGACACACACGCACACACACACGCACATACACGTGCATGCGCGCGCGCACACACACACAGGTACACGCACACACACAGGCATGTCCCTGCTTACCTTCCCTCCACACCACCCAGCAGCTCCTCAGTCTAGGGCTGGGGGACCCGGTTTTCCGAAAAGAAAGCTTCAGCCCAGAGGAGCAGCATCCAGGGCGGGGCCTCCCTCCCCACGGGCCAGCCTCCCTCCCCACGGGCCAGCCTCCCTCCCAGCCTCCCTCCCCACGGGCCAGCCTCCCTCCCCAGGGAGCGCAGAGGTGGAGGATCCTGTTGGCTGAGCAGGGGACTTTGATTCCGCCAAAAGGCCGGGAGTGTAAACATGAGGGTGGGGTTTGCAGCAATCAGGTTTGGTGAAATTTGAACTCTGGAGGCCGAGGGGGCGGAGAAAAGGCAGGGCCAGCCTGCTCGGGCTAGACCACAGCGTCCACTGCCTCTCAGAGCTCAGCCAGGACTCTCGGCCGCCGCCTCCTCCTGGGCCCCCGCGCCCCTGGCAGAGGTCGTCATCGGGGTGGACGGCACGAGGCCTCCCTGGCATAGCTGCCCCCTCCTCCCTTGCCCCTAACTCCGGGCGACATTCCCTCTGAGGGGCCCTGGGTCATCTCTGCTCTGCACCTCCAAAGACAGGAGTGCGGGGTCCAGGCACCCCGGGGCGACGGGGAAGACCCCCGACCTTGGTTAGGACGAGGGAGGGCAGGTACTGTGCACCCCCGGTTTGGGTGAGAAGTGATGTAGCCACAAACCACGGACAGCAGAGTGACCAGCTGCTGCCCACAGGCCGCCTCGTATGCAACAGGAAGGGACGGAGGAGGGGAGCTCGTCCCCGGGGACGCCGGGCAGGGGGCTCCCAGGTGACAACTTTACCGACTGGCCACTGCCCACGACCGCTGCTGGAGCCTGACCCGCCGTCCCCAAGCCTGACCTCAGAAGCACCCCTAACCTCACAAGGTGCTGCTTCCGCAGACAGTGGTTCCCAGCGTCCAGCAGTGGGGACAGCTCCGACCCGACGTGTGACCAACGCAAGGTCACCAGACCCACCTTCGCCGTCACCATTCAGGTTCTCGTAGGAGTCCCAGCGGATCAGCGGGTCGGCTGTGTCGAAGTCCACGCTCACCCCGTGGTCATTGCGCAGATGCTCGTAGCCTGCGTGGAACACGGGGACCGGGCGTCAGTCCAGCTGGGCCAGCGGCACACACTGTGCCCGATGCTGGGGCCGGGCTGAGCGCTGGGAGCCAAGCACCTGGTCCAGCCCCAGCCCCGGCCTGGCTGCCCCAAGCGAGCAGCCATGACACTGCTGAGCACGCAGGAGAGGTGGACACTGGCCCTCCGCCCACCGCGTGGGGCTCTGGGCTCTGGCCTCTCTGCACCTCCGGGTCACCCCTGCCTCCGGGCAGATGGACAGAGAGGCTGGTGTGGGCCGTGCCCTGCCTTGGTCACTTCAGGGGACTCGGAGCCCACGGGCCTGGCATCCAGCTCACACCTCCGTCTGGGGGACAGGAGGAGGGTGACCGGGTCACACAGCGAGCGGACACTGAATTAAAACGCTCGTGCAGGGATCCCGGGGGCAGGAACCAACTACAAGCCCTGAGGCTAAGACGGCCGATGCCTCTCTGTATTTTTAGAAGAAAGGAGAATCTATTTTAAACATAAATACGTGCAGACTGCAGAACTTCTGATCTTTAGAAGCACCTGGCTGTTCGTTAGGGAGAACAGAACACCAGGCGGAGCCTCCCCGAGAAGGAGACAGAATTCGGGGACCGCGCCCCGTCCTCCCCACTACCTAACGGTCCGGCCCCAAAGGGATAACATGAAAACTCCCCAACGTGGGCAGCGGTGGGAGAGACCCCGGCACACCGGTCACCACCCGCCGGCGCCGGCCTGGACGCACCTTGGACCCTCTCGGGGGTGGACGAGAACACCAGCTCCACCTTCCCGTTGGCAGGAAACCGGTCATCTGAAACAGAGGGCGACGTCAGCCAGCCCGCGCGCGCCCAGCGCAGCCGCACGGCACATCGTGTCTCAGGACGCGTTCTGGGCTGGAGCCGCCGCGAGTCGTTCCTGACGTGGCCGTGACTCCCGCGAGGGGCAGGAGGGCAGAGGACCCGGCCTGTGGGCACCCGCGGCGCAGGGGCGGGCCGCACCTTCACAGGCGCCGTCCAGTTCCTCCTTCCCGAACACCAGGCGGCAGCTCTGCACGGCCCCCGTGTGGAACTGCAGGCGGAAGACGACCTCGCGGGTGGCCGAGCGGCATCTCTCGTGGTAACACTTCACCTGTGAGGACGAGAGCAGCTGCAGGGTGGGGGGCACGCACGGTCCGAGCTGGGGCTGGGGCGCACATCCCAGCGGGCCCGGCACCCCCAGAGCAACCACAGTGCCCCACGCAGCCCTTCGAGCTCGGACGGCCCGGCCAACCCGCAGACCCACCGGAACGGTCTCCCTGAAGACACCTGCCGGGTGAAACCCTAAGTTTTAACAACTGATTAGGAGGACGTTTTCCCGCCACCTGAAGTCTCCTGCAACTTAAAACCTTTCTGTTTCCACAGAAGACACAGGTGGTCGTTACGGGTTACAACGTCCTGAATGCTTCTGGGTGCAGACTGAGACGGGGCGAGGGAGAGAGACACGGGGGTGGGGGGACGGAGAGGAAGACAGGAGATGGGGGCGCAGAGGGGAGGCCAGCCAAGCGTCTGCACTTCCCGGAGACACCAGCCTGGAGTCATCAGATGTGACCTGAACTCGGCTCTTTCTGGGGTCCCCAGGGGTCCATGGTGGGTGCTCCCTCCCTGGTAGGGACTGGGGGGCTGTCGGAGGTAGTGACCTTCCGGGAAGAGGCTCTCCCTGGAGGAAGATGGACTTTGCAAACGTTCTGCGGTCTCAGAGGTGAGAGACGCAGCCGTCCAGTCCCAGCCAGCAGTGCAGGGAGGCGGCTGGGAAGGTCCTGAGCGCCACCCAGAGGAGCATCACCCAGGGGGACTGCTAGGGCCCCGGGAGCCGCAGACCCAGGGTCGTCCACCGCTGTGCTGTCCGCCAGGACACAGCCTGACAGATAAGGGGGACACGTAATCAGCCTCCAGGGGTGTTTCCTGGGGGCAGCCGTGTTGAGGGGTCACCCAGGGAGGCAGAGCCAAGTCCAGCCTCGGCCCTGGTGCAGGGCGTCTGCAGCCAACGAGCAGGATTCTGGAGGTGACAACTCCGAGTGCTCGCCTCCTGCCTCGGCCGGGGTCTCGGCTCTGCCGGGGGGTCCCCCCAAGGGCCGTCCGGTGGGCCCTTCCTGACCGCGCTGCACCCCTCAGCCCTCCGAGCGCCCACACACCGACCGCTCAGCGAGGCCCCCACCCCCACACAGAGGAGACCCCACAGGGGTCCCCACGTGCTCCATCTCCACAGGGCGAAGGTCCCAGCCTCCTCGTCTGCCTCTCCCCACCGGCGCTGGGACCACCTGACCACCTCACCATGACCGTCATCGTCTCACACGGGCACAGAAATCCAGGCACGAGGGAGACCCACTGGCCAGCAGGAGCCCTCGGGCCCACACAGGGCAGCTCTGTCCACCCCCAGCACAGACCCGTCCACTTCAGTACAAGACGCCAAGTCCTGCTCCTGACACCAGAGAACAGCCACGTTCTGTTTGACAAGGGCACCCCCAGTCCCCCCTAAGGTGTAAGGTAACATCCCCTTTCATGAAGATCAGTAACAGTCCCTCCAGGCCTTTGATGTTGCCGCTCTATCAGATGCAGAACATCTGCATTTGCAACGATTCACAGCCTTGGGGTCTCGGGGTCTCAGCTCCGATGCCCCAGGGGCCACAGGGATGGTGCGCTTGGGGCTGGGTGTGGCTCTGTGACCTGGGCCTGGTTACACGGTGTAAATCAACACACGCGACCTCTGCGCCCATGTCTGAAGGTGAGGGCGGCTGTGGGGGGCTGATCTCGTGGGGGGCTGATCTCGTGGTCGTCCGACATGCACGTGGTCGTCTCGGCCTCGCTCTGACAGCCACAGGGCGCTGCCCCTGTCCCTGGGTGAACTCTGAGCTGCCAGTGACTGCAACCCGAGCCCCCCTGCACCTCAGTTTCCCCACAAACAGGCAGGGACGGCGGGAGCCTCCCAGGGAGGGAATTCTGAGGGCGGACACCATCTGGTGCTGGAGATGCTGGTGCCCTAAGGGCCCCGCCTAGTCCCCAGGCTGCCCGAAGGTATTTCTACTTCTCTTCTGCATCAGCAACAGAACAGCACCGGGGCCACGGGGTCAAGGTTCGAGGACCAGCCGGAGCACCTGCCCAGGGTCAAGGTTAGGCCCATCCTGCTCCCTCCCCAGGCCAGGCCCCCGAGGTGTGCCGCCCGCGGGTCATCTCAGCTTCCTTGTGGGCAACCCAGACTGCAAAACACGGGGACCCTCAGCACGCCCCCAACCAGAAGACAGCGTGCGCTGCTCCGACCGCCCCTGGCTGGTGGCTGGTGGCCGTCTCGACGGGCCTCCGGAACGTGTCTTCAGAGGACGCTCCCCCCACACTCTGCGGCTGTTCAGAGCTGGTCCTCACCCAGGCCCACCGAGCCCAACTTCACCGAGTTTGAGACGACTCGGGGGTCCTGGCTGACAGTCATGTCCCCTGAAGAGCCAGCGGGACAGGCTGTCCGTGAAGACACACCTGCGTGTACTGACTGAGACCACAGGAGGGCCGAGCCCCAGCCGGGTCTGGGACACTCGGGGGGCCAGGGGAGGAAGCCACACGGCACAGAAAGGCACAAAGTAGCTCCTGCGGTGACCCCTGGAGCAAAGTGTGGCAGAAGATAAGGCCTCCCCGCCCCCATCTTGCTCAAGGCCCTGGGGAAACAATACACAATGGTGCTACTTGTCTGCTGGAGGAGGAGGCCGGGGGCTCAGGAACCCCGAGCCCTGCGGAGCAGCTGTGCCGGCCACAGGCGGGCAGGGCAGAGGCACAGCCGAGGCAGGCAGGACGGGACGTGTTTTCGGGCGAGCGGGCTCTGGACAGTGGCCAGGCTCCGACGGGCATGCCCCACGCATTCCTCACCGGGTTACATAACGCCCGGCGTGTTTACTGAACACCTGAGGCCCTGCCCTTCCCGAGGGTGGACTGGAGGCTGACCCCGAGTGTGGGCCCGCGTGCAGGGGGCGTGGGCGGGGCCGGGCCGCAGCAACACGCAGGGCAGGCCGACGTCCCTTCGCCTCAGTGACAGGGCCTCTGCTGGCGGGAGCTGAAGGAGCGGGGAGCTCAGCTTCACCCTCCGCACCTCTCCCCGCCCCTCCCGTGGACGGCCGCTCCTCCCGTAACCTCGGGCCGCGGATCCGCTCAGGACAGAGCCAGACAGCTGCCCACAAGCAGACACTCACCAAACTCGCGGAGGGACAGTCAGAGAGGACAAGCTGCCGAGGAGCAGGAGGGTGACCAGGGACGGCGGGCAGCCTGGGAGCCCCTCCCCCCTCCCCCTCCCCGGCCAGGCGCCTGGGCCCAGCCCTGCAGCTGGCGGGAGCTGAGCCTTCCCTGCAGAACGGGATCCTTTCCAAGACAGTCGCTGCCAAATTCTCGGTGAAAAATGAAAGGCTGCATAGTTGAACCTTCACACAGAAACGGCCCCGAACCTCATTCCACACCCGCCGCTGGAGGACGCAACGCCCTCTGGTCGGCAGAGGTGCGCCAGGCAACCTGCCAACCTGGGGCCCCAGCAGTGGTGTGGCCGGGGGGTCACCGGGGCGGAGGGGCTGGAGGGGAGCCTGGCTCAGTGACTAGGCAACTGCACCAGGCGCCCCGGGGGGACACGCCCACACTCTCCAGGAAGACCCACCAACATCAAAGAACATTCCCAGCATTTTTCTTGCCTCTGCGGGTCCCTCAGGCCCTTCTCGGGACCCACAGCCCTGGAGCTTGGGGCTGCAGCACCAGCTGGACCCAGGCTGACCAGGAGGCCCCTGGGCACCTGCCTCCTGGGACTCTCTGGAACCATCCCCCCATCCCAGTAACCTGCACCCATCTGCCTGCCGCACCCGGGTGCCCCGAGGCCCGCAGACCTCCCCCTGCACACCCTGGACTGCTGGAATCTGAGCCCCTGGGGGCGGGGTCTGTGGGGACCCAGCCGCCTGGCGAGCACACGCCGTGCAAATGCGGGGTGACCACGGAGACCTGGTCGCACTGAATCTTCCCGAATGGGCTTATTGGATGAACACAGGGGTTACAGGCTGAACAGTCTCCCCAAAGTTCAGATGTCGGGGTGCTGATCCCCGTGTCCGAAGGGTGTGGCTGTGTTTAGAATCTGTCTTTGCAGAGGTCCTTATGGTGATGAGGTTACCGGGGGGGCGCTGATCCAGTGTGACTGGCGTCCTCACAAGAGGAGACGAGGACACAGACAGACAGCGGGGCGAGCCCGCGATGTCACGGAGCAGCCCGCGGGCGGTGGCCGGGGAGGGAGGCCTCCAGGGGAACCGCCCTGTGACTCCAGGGCTAAGACGCGGGCTCCAGGGCGAGGGAAGGAAAGTCTGCCATGAGCCCCGTGAGTGGGTTTGCCACCACACGAGGGAAGCGGCTCGAGGAGCCGCCCTTTCTCAGAGACGGACGACTGACCTCTTCTCACCGTTTCTGGGCACAGACCTCGAGAAACCTCGCCCCCGTCCCCGCTCCGGTTCACAGAGCTGGGACCACCCTCAGCACGGCCTGTGCCGCAGAACACGGAGCTTCGTCTTGGGCCCCAGGAGGATGGGGAAGTGCTCAGGTGACACCTTGGCAAAAGCAGGGCCACCTGTGCACCCTCAACACCTGCAGACCCCACTCTCTCGGTGGCCAGGGAGGGGGGACACGGGCCCGAGGCCCTGGAAGCAGCCAGAGGGCTGCTCCCCAGGAAACTGTGCCCAGGGTGTGTGTGCCCGGGGTGTGTGTGCCCGGGGCGTGTGTGTGCCCGGGGTGTGTGTGTGCCCGGGGTATGAGTGTGCCCGGGGCGTGTGTGTGCCCGGGGCGTGTGTGTGCCCGGGGCGTGTGTGTGCCCGGGATGTGTGTGTGCCCGGGATGTGTGTGTGCCCGGGGCGTGTGTGTGCCCGGGATGTGTGTGTGCCCGGGATGTGTGTGTGCCCGGGGTGTGTGTGTGCCCGGGATGTGTGTGTGCCCGGGGCGTGTGTGTGCCCGGGATGTGTGTGTGCCCTGGATGTGTGTGTGCCCGGGGCGTGTGTGTGCCCGGGATGTGTGTGTGCCCGGGGCGTGTGTGTGCCCGGGGCGTGTGTGTGCCCGGTATGTGTGTGTGCCCGGTATGTGTGTGTGCCCGGGGTATGTGTGTGTGCCCGGGGCGTGTGTGTGCCCGGGGCGTGTGTGTGCCCGGGGCGTGTGTGTGTCCGGGGTATGAGTGTGTGTCCGGGGTGTGTGTGTGCCCGGGGCGTGTGTGTGCCCGGGGTATGAGTGTGTGCTCGGGGTGTGTGTGTGCCCGGGATGTGTGTGTGCCCGGGGCGTGTGTGTGCCCGGGATGTGTGTGTGCCCTGGATGTGTGTGTGCCCGGGGTATGAATGTGCCCGGGGTGTGAATGTGCCCGGGGCGTGTGTGTGCCCGGGGTATGAGTGTGCCCGGGGCGTGTGTGTGCCCGGGGTATGAGTGTGCCCGGGGTGTGTGTGTGCCCGGGGTATGAGTGTGCCCGGGGCATGTGTGTGCCCGGGGTGTGTGAGTGTGCCCGGGGGGTGTGTGCCCGGGTATGGTTGTGCCCGGGTCGTGTGTGTGTGCCCGGGGTTGTGTGTGCCTGGCTGTGTGACGACGGGATGTATGTGCCCAGGATGTGTGTGTGCCTGGGGTTTGTGTGTGTCTGGGGTGTGTGTGTGCCTGGGGTGTGTGTGTGTCTGGGGTATGAGTGTGCCCGGGGTGTGTGTGTGTCTGGGGTATGTGTGTGCCCGGGGTGTGTGTGTGCCCGGGGTGTGTGTGTGCCCGGGGTATGTGTGTGTCTGGGGTATGAGTGTGCCCGGGGTGTGTGTGCCCGGGGTGTGGGTGTGTGTGCCCAGGAGTGTGTGTGCCCGGGGTATGTGTGTACCCGGGGTGTGTGTGCCCGTGGCGTGTGTGTGCCCGGGGCGTTTGTGTGCCCGGGGCGTTTGTGTGCCCGGGCGTGTGTGTGTCCCGGGCGTGTTTGTGCCCGGGTGTGTGTGGTGCAGGGTTTGTGTGTGCCCTGGGGCGTGTTTGTGCCCGGTATGTGTGTGTGCCCAGGTTATGTGTGTGTGCCCGGGGTGTGTGTGTGCCCGGGATGTGTGTGTGCCCGGGGCGTGTGTGTGCCCGGGGTGTGTGTGTGCCCAGGGCGTGTGTGTGCCCGGGGCGTGTGTGTGCCCGGGGTATGAGTGTGTGCCCTGGATGTGTGTGTGCCCGGGGCGTGTGTGTGCCCGGTATGTGTGTGTGCCCGGTATGTGTGTGTGCCCGGGGTATGAGTGTGTGCCCGGGGCGTGTGTGTGCCCGGGGCGTGTGTGTGCTTCCGTGGCGTGTTGTGTCCGGGTATGAGTGGTGTTCCGGGGTGTGTGTGCCCTGGGTGTGTGTGTGCCCGGGGTATGAGTTGTGTGCTCGGGCGTGTGTGTGTGCCCGGATCTTGATGGTGTTCCCGGGGCGTGTGTGTGCCCGGGATGTGTGTGTGCCCTGGATGTGTGTGTGCCCGGGGTATGAATGTGCCCGGGGTGTGAATGTGCCCGGGGCGTGTGTGTGCCCGGGGTATGAGTGTGCCCGGGGCGTGTGTGTGCCCGGGGTGTGTGAGTGTGCCCGGGGTGTGTGTGTGCCCGGGGTATGAGTGTGCCCGGGGCATGTGTGTGCCCGGGGTGTGTGAGTGTGCCCGGGGGGTGTGTGTGCCCGGGGTATGAGTGTGCCCGGGGTGTGTGTGTGCCCGGGGCGTGTGTGTGCCTGGCGTGTGTGAGCCCGGGATGTATGTGCCCAGGATGTGTGTGTGCCTGGGGTATGAGTGTGCCCAGGGTTTGTGTGTGTCTGGGGTGTGTGTGTGCCTGGGGTGTGTGTGTGTCTGGGGTATGAGTGTGCCCGGGGTGTGTGTGTGCCCGGGGTATGTGTGTGCCCAGGGTATGTGTGTGTCTGGGGTATGAGTGTGCCCGGGGTGTGTGTGCCCGGGGTGTGTGTGTGCCCAGGGAATGTGTACCCAGGGAATGTGTGCCCAGGATGTGTGTGTGCCCGGGGTGTATGCGCGTGTGTGCCCAGGATGTGTGTGTGTGTGTGCCCGGGGTGTGTGTGTGTGTGTGCCCAGGGTGTGTGTGTGCCCAGGCATCTGTGTCTTCCTGAACCGCACCGACCTGATTCTGAGAATTCAGGTGGGGAGGGTGGGGGTTCACCAGCCACTAATAAAGAGTTCAAAACGCAAATGTTTAGGAAAAGTTAATGAGAATTCTCCACACTCTGGATGAACTGTCTGCAATAGAACAACAGCCGCCCTGGGACCGGGTCCCTTCCTGTCACAGCGTGTGCTCGGCCACGGAGACACCTGGGAACTTTCCTGAACACTCGTCTCCCAGAATCAAACGTTCGAAGTGTTCTGTGGTCAAGAGACGCAAACAGCAAAAACGGCCCAACCACTCTCATCCGAGAGACAGCACCAGAGACCAGTGTCCTGACCGTCAACCAGAGCGATGACGGGCTGTTCTCCCACCGGGGCTGCCGACAGCACACCTGTTCCGTGTGCACCTTCCCTGGGGCCCATGAAGGCTGCACCTCGGGGTCAGGAGGGGGACGTGACCCCTGGGGTGCAACGGCTGAGGGTGCGGAGGGGCCGAGAAGGTGACCCTGGCGCAGGGCTGAGGGTGCGGAGGGGCCGGGAAGGTGACCCCGGTGCAGGGCTGAGGGTGCGGAGGGGCCGGGAAGGTGACCCTGGCGCAGGGCTGAGGGGGCGGAGGGGCCGGGAAGGTGACCCTGGCGCAGGGCTGAGGGTGCCGCTGAGGCTGTGACGCCCTGTCCCTCTCATCAAAGCACCTTCACTCAGACAATCGACGTAAGGTGAAGGCTACCCCTCACCCTCCACGCGGGTGTCTGGGGGGCGAGGGGGCCATGCTGTTGTTCGAGGCGCCATCCGCTCTGAGTGGCGATGGCGCGGGAGAGGTGAGCACTCACCATGATGTCCCCCTTCAGCAGCTGGGCCGGCTCGATGGCGATGTGGACCCGGCCCTGGCTCTCTGGGCCGACGTGGCTGCGGGGTGGACAGAAGACGGGCCGTTAGGTCCTCGCGGGACTTCATGGGAAGAACACGTTTCGAGAGCAAGCTACCCGACAACCGCAAACTCAGAAGCTACACAAACTGCCCCAGGGGCCCAGATCCAGCCCGAGAATCTCCATGGAAACGAGTCAGAAGGAGCAAAAAGCTGCCGGGCTGGGTGCTGACGGCGTGGCCAAGGACCGAAGGCACTCGGCCACGCACAGGGCACGCAGTGTGGCGGCCGGCCCGGGGGATGGCAGTGGAGCTGGGCCGGGAAGTGGGCACCAGCCACCCACGGAGCACTGGCCACGGGCATTCTCTGCCTAACTCCTCCCCCTCCCCAGGGAGCGCGGGCCGGGCTGCGCCTTTTCCCGGGACGAGTCCCTGAGGCTGATGCACTTACTAGATCCCCGACGTGTAGACAGGCTGCATGGCCTGGTACAGCTTCAGGAAGGGCCGGCACCCTGCGGGGAGGGGGAGAGGTCGAGTCGTCCGTGAGCCCGGAACCACGCAAGGGTGACAGAGATAAAGGTGTGTGAGACAGCCCGGCCGGCGTGGCTCGGGCTGAGCGTCGACCCTGCACCAAGAGGCCGCTGGTTTGATTCCCGGTCAGGGCCCAGGCCCAGGTTGTGGGCCTGATCCCCAGTGGGGGGCATGCAGGAGGCAGCCCATCGATGTTCTCTCTCATGGATGTTTCTCTCTCTCTCCCTCTCCCTTCCTCTCTCTCTCAAATCAATCAAGGGAAACAAAAATGTGTGTGAGACGAGCCCACGGGCTGCCAGCGGGGTGGGAACACATCATCAGAGTCGGACACTGGGGTCTCCTCACTGAGGAGGCTGTCCCTCCTCTGATAAGCAAGCGGCCCGGCCGCACACAGCGGCTTTGTCCGGTCAGTGACCGGAGGGCCTGGGCCACTCGCTGCGGCGACAGGAAATCTCAGCACCGCGTGGGACGCTCACCTCCACCCACGTCGAAGTTGGGGGTGCCGTGCAGGATGACGAAATGCAAGAACAGGGGTGAGGCGTTCATCTTCACCGTCCCCGACAGCAGCCCGCTGAGGAACTGGACGTACCTGCGAAGTGCGGCCGGGTGAGCGCCCGCGGGTCCCGCCCTCGCTGCCCAAGCCGAGCGGGGCCGGGACGGAGAGGGGCCCGGCACACAGCCCCGAGCGTCCACGGTCAGGCACGCCTGCGTGCGCGTGGCCGTCAGAGGGACACTGGCCCACGGGTCCTGCAGCAGCCGGCGGCGGCAGGGCCCGGACATGGGTGCGCCCCCAGCACGCTCTGAGGCTGCCTGGCCTCAGACAGTGACAAAAGGAGACCCCACTGTATCGGCCACCCTGGGGGTGTCCCAGCCAGTGAAGCAGGGCGGGTGGGGTGTTCAGTGAATCCCGGCTGCACCCAGGCCACCCCCCAGACTGCACCGCAGCCCCACTTGTGTACTGAAAACCCCCGGCTGACACCTGCCGTGCCCCGGCCGCTGCGCCTGGGTGCAGAGCACACGGCCAGGAGCCTTTGGGGTGGACGTTGCGAAGTTTGAAAACCCCGCTTCCAGCCCATCCTTTTAGGACTGTCAGGAAGAACAGGCTTCCGCTGGGGCTCCCTTCCCAGTGCGCCCACCGTGTCGGCGGTGAACAACTCTGCTCCCCCGAATGTACAGGAGGAGGCTCCCGAGGTCGCAGGAGCCTGACGGGAGCCCGGAGACCGGATGGCCGGCTGCAGCCAGGGCCTGGCCGCCAGGGGGCTCCACACGCCGCCCTTCATTCCCGTGTGCAGACCTGGGGGCACCCAGGTGACCTGTCTGTCAGCGGCTTCTAATCACCTAATGACACCCCTGCAAGTTCCTGGTTCTCGGCTCGGGGTTGTGAGCAAAGAAAGAAGAATTGAAAACATTGGGGTCCTGGGCTGTCCCTCTCTCGCTGGGCTGCCCTGGCCACCTCCGCTGTCCGGCTTGCCGATGCCCAGCGGAGTGTGCGCCCTGTGGGCACCTGACCATCTGCTCAGGCGGTCGGCACTGGCCACTCCAGGGCACAGCCCGCTGCCCTCCAGGCCCTGGGGTGCTCCTGGTGGACGGCCGATTGCAGCCGAGCCCCAGCCACCTCGACGTCATTACCACCACGGTCCTGGGAGGGGCAGAGCCACCTTCCGGGAAGGGGCGTCTCTCCCGACAGGAGGTCACCCAGCCTGGCTGCAGTGGGGGCCACAGGGGGAGGGGCCCACAATGCACCAACCAGCCCCTCCCTCCTGTCCTTGGCCGCCGCCTGCACATTTTACAGGTCAAACCTCGCCCGCCTCCCCCTCTGGCCTGCCCGGGACATACGCACCGTTTCTGGGAAGGCTGCATCAGAGCCGAGACCTTGTCATCGTGATACCTCTTCATCGCAAACCTGTCGAGGGCCTGGTCGGCGCTGGGGAAGCGGAGAGAGAGCGTTACGACCCGGGGAGGCCGAGGGAGGCGGGGACAGTCCTGCCGCTACGCGGGCCCGGCGCCCACAAAGAGCCCCGCTGCTCGGCTGTGGCACCCGCTGCGCCACATGCTGGCTCCAACAGAGGGCTCTGGGCAGCACCGGTGGGCACACCGAGTGTCAGCATCGGGGGACCGGACACGCCCAGAGGCCAGCTGGTGGGCACCCACCAAGTCCAGAGGACTCTGGGAACCACAGGGACGGCCGAGTGCCGCCAGGGGGCGCCATGTCTGTGGACGGGCCCACGGGCACAGAGCTCCCAGTGGAGAGCGAACACAGGCCTTCGGGGAGCACGACCACGTGTGTGGCCGTCACCTGACTTCCAACAGCCCGTCTGACTGACACTGGCCCGCAAGCCCACAGGGCACTCAGCAGGGTCCTGGGAACCCCTCACAGACACGGGACAGACAGCCTGTGGAACAGGAGGGTCTTGGGGTCACACAGCCCAAAGCTTCCTGGAACACGGGGTCCCCGTGCGGGCCCCTCCTCGAGCTGCACCAGACACGCGGCAGACATGGTGGAGGGCGCCGTCCAGGCCGGAAAACGTCGCGGTCGGGAGGACAGAACAGGCTCAGCCCCGTGACGTGGGCCCAGCTGCCGCAGGCGTCCACGCGAGGGGCCGGGGCGCTGGGCTCGAGCACGCGGGAGCAGGTGCTTCCAGCCGAACAGCTCGGTCTCCCGCCGCAGGCCTCTGTCCGGGTCCCGCCTGCTTCCGGGAAGACGCCGACAGAGGTCATGTTCGCGGTGCGCTGTTATCAGCACGACTCTTAGCTCTATCTTCCCACGCTTATCTTCACGGCGCCCGGACGAGTCTTCTTCCTCCTTCGCGCCTTGAACTTTCTGTTTCGATCTTGGAGCCGAGTCTGTGCCCAAGGCCCGAAGGACATCTGCTGCCTGGGATGGCTTCTGGGGGCAACATCCGAGGGCACGGTCGTACAACAGTCGGACGGACGGCTGCGTCGGCGGAGGGTCGGCAGAAGCTACTGGAATTCCTGGACAGGCCCCCGGCAAACGCTGGGACCGACGGTCTCCTCGGGGGACAGAGAGCGGGGCAGCCGCCGACGAGGTGGGGCACACGGGGAGAGTGGCCTCTGAGAGCACCCTCCCCAACGCTCCCTGCGTCCACGCGGTCCATCCTAGGGCCCTCGTGAAGGGCACAGTGGCCTGTCACAAAGCCCAGTGAGCACAGCCAGCACCCACTTCACGGGTGGCCGTGGCGGTGGTGGCCGTGGCGGTGGTGGCCGTGGCGGTGCGTGGGACGGCGCAGCCGGGCCCGGAGACACTGCCTCAACGGCTCGGAAGCAGCCCTGGTGCGCGTGTTGGTGACAAGCGACAGCTGTGTCTCCAGGTTCCCAGACCCACCAGGCCGGCCCTGGCGCGCGGCCGAGGGTCCAGACACAGCCACGTTGTTGCAGCACCGACGAGCAACACGGGCCGTGGCCAGAACCGCCAGGAGCCTGGTCTGCGTCCAAGCGCCTCTGCTTCGCCAGGGGCTCGCGGGCCCGGGCGCCCGGCACACAGAGCCCATTATCCCCGAGCAGGGTCTGCCTTTCGCTGGGCTGGGTTTCCTCCCTGGCCGGCGCCAGAGCCCAAGCTGTTTCCAGAGAAAACAGTCGGACGTCGGGGTTCACCCGCGTGCTGGAAAGGAGGGGCTCTGCCGGCCCGTGAACAGGCTGGTGTTTCCGGGGGCCGAGCAGCACAGAGGCCCATCGAGACGCAGCCCAGCGGCCGCACCGCAGACCCGGCCCTTCTCATCTGGGCTGCGGGGGGTCTCTGGGCTCTGCACGCTGGCCCGGAACAGGGGGCCTGCACAGCCTAGCGTGGCCCCTGCCCCGTGCAGCGTACACGGTTCCCATGGAGACAGCACTGCTCGGTGCTGCCCCCTGCAGTCCTGAGGGTGGTGGGGCGCCGTGACCCCGAGGTCGCATCACGGGGCGCACACACTGGGATGGTGTCTGTCTCAGGGGAGCAGCTTCTCAGCCCCGGGACTCGAGGGCACCGGTCAGCCCGGCCTCCCGACCCCCGCCCGGCCAGCGCAGACGCCCTCCTACCTGGCCGAGACGTTGGTGAAGTGCATGTAGGACGAGATCACCACCCCGATGCGCCCCTTCTCGCCCTGCAGGACACAAGAGAGGAGCCAGTGTTCTCCTGCTGCCACGGCAGAGACGGAGTCTAGGACAGGACCACGCTCGCTCTCTGCAAGGTGGCAGGGAGCCAGCCTGGAGGGCACTGCGTTGCAGGCCAGCAGCACCCAGAGCAGGGGCACGCACACTGGGTGCCCGCGGCAGAAGCAGGTGCTCCCGGGGCATCTGTGGGCACCCCCGGGGGAGGACCTGCAGGGCAGCTGGTCGGGTCACCAGCTCCCAGGGGCGGTGCGGAGAAGCTGCTCAATCACGGTGACAGAGACCAGAGGCCTCCCGGGCTGAGGTCCCCAGGGCTGCAGGTACAGCCAACAGGTCACCAACAGAGGGCGGCACATCCCAGCGAGCTGCCCACATCTCGGGGCCCCTGGCACGGTCAGCCCCGCCGGCCACACACGGCACCGCTGTCCAAACCGCATCACCAGCCGTGGCCACACACCTGCACACCCCAGACACGGCAGCCCGGCCGGGACCTCTGGTCGAGACACCCCGAGAAGGGTGGCCCCGCGCCAGGCCGCCCTTCCTGGCCCCACGGGCTGCCACCGCCCAGCACAGCGGCAGGCAGACCGCAGCCGACCCTCCCTCCAGCCTGTGAGGTGCAGCTGCTCCTAGTGTTCAGCAGCTGAAGGAAAATCAGAACAGCCCACGACACGAGAACTCCTGGGCTCCAACGCAGTGACTGGGTCCCGGTCACACCTGTCCGCTCGGGGCATCAGGGCCGTGTGCACACAGCCACAGCCGTTTAAGGACTCAGAGCTCACGGATGGGGACACGACGGCCTTGAGTGACAGGTCAAAGGAGACACACTCAGACACGCGCAGAACACTGCAGCCGAGGCACACACGCACCGTCCCTCAAGGCCCTCCCTGTGCGCGGCCACGGCACACGCAGGGGCACGGGGAGCCCTGCCGTGGGGCCATGACCTCTCTGACCACAGGGTGGAAGACCAGAAACAGTCGGAAACCTGGAACAGTCCGTGTGCTTCCCGAACAGACCCTCTAACCCTGTGTGGATGGGGCACGTGGCCGCCGCCCTGCTGTCCAGCCATCTGTCTGCTCCTCCGACATGGACGCTTTGGGACAGACAACGTCCTCTATGCTCCAACAGCTCCGTCTGCCCTTCACATCAGAAACGCCAACTGTGCACGTCCATGGGGAGCCCCCGCCAACCATGCGGGGTGAGGCCTGCCCCAGAGACACAGGCTGTTCTCCACCAGGAACACGGGGTCCCAGGTGGCCCTGGGTCTGCCCCCCAGGCCTCGACGGGCAGCCCGTTAGTCACGCCTGCCTGGAAGCAAGCGGGCACTCGGCCAGCGCAGGGGTCGGGCAGAGGTCGGCGTCTCGCCCCACAGCAACGACAAACCTCTATCGTGGTCCCAGCCGTGGTCCCAGCCCCGGCTCCAGCAGGCCCCGCCCACAGCGCGGGCTCCGGAAGGCCTCGCACGGGTGTCCGCGCCGCAGGGTGCTGAGATGCCAAGGTCGTGCACCAGAAGCTTCGACGGCCCCCGTGACCCGCGAACAGGCCCTGTCCCGGCCGCAGGCGTCCAGTAGAACCCCCGTGACCGGGAGACCTCTACGCTGTAAGTTCACCCTGTGACCCAGGGGCGGTGACTAATGCAACTCAGTTCACAGAAAAGTGCAGCAAAGGCCTAAACGGCCCAAGTGATGCGGGGTCTCTGCGAGGCCCCACCACAGAGCCTCCCGGAGACTCGGCAGCAGGTCTGGGGGCGGGGCCTCCTTCCCCACCAGTCGGCCTCCGAGAGCCCGTGGTGGACCTCGGGCAACGTGACCGCCAGCATCGGTCTCGCCTCAACGTCATCGGGCCCAGAGCCGGTTGCAGCTTTTGTCGAAAAAGAGTCTCTCTCTCTAAGTCTGCACCAAAACACGAGTTCGGGGAGAAGCTCCTAACATAGCACAGCCCTTACAAAGCCCAGTGAACTAAACGGTTCTGCGAGAGGCAGGACGAGAGGACCTGGCGGTGGGCAGGGGCATGTGGGGGGTCAGGGGTGACAGCCTCGCCCCTCAGAGAAGCCAGGAGGAAGGTCTCAGACAGCTGATGGATGTTCCTTTAAAGGAAGTCCCACAAAAATACAGGATCCGTGGACAATGTGAGTGTGAAAAGGTCTGAACAGAGACTTTCCAAGGTGGGAAGGTCAGATGGTGGAGTTGTTTTTGTTTGTTTTAATCTTTTTTTCTTTATTGATTTTTTGAGAGAGAGGGAGGGAGAGATAGAAACATGGATGAGAGAGAACATCGACTGGCCGCCTCCTGCGTGCTCCCCACTGGGGATTGGGCCCAGAACCTGGGCATGTGCCCTGACCGGGAATCGAACCAGCGACCCCTTGGTGCAGGGTGGACACTCGAGCACTGAGCCCCACTGGTGGGCAGATCGCCGAGTTGTATGGCGGCTCTAGGAATGCGGTGTGTCCTGTACAAAGTTGGTGCAGACGATTTGGCCGAGAAGCCACAGAAGGGAGAGGGAAGGTCCCGGGGCTCAGGGGAGGACGCGGAGCAGGTCAAGGACACTCAGGACAGAGGGCCACCTTCCCTCGGCCAGCCCTCGGCCACCCCAGGAGGGTGGACACGTCCCATGTCCATCGGGTGGGCGGTTTCTACAACAGCATCCTGACCACGGTGTCAACAACCACCACTCACAGGCTCCAAGTCCAGGCCTCATACCCCAAGAGCCCTTCTCTTTTTTAAAGAGGGGTTTCCGCCCGGGCCCGTTGGCTCAGCGGTTAGAGCATCGGCCTGCGGTCCAGAGACCGGGGTTCTGTTCCCGCTATGGGCACGTACCTCGGTTGCGGTTTGTCCCCGGTCCTGGTTGGGTCGTGTGGGTGGCAACCAGTTGATGTCTCCCTTTCACATCGATGTTTCTCTCTTTCTGTTTACCCCTCTGTCTGAAGATAAATGTAAAAATATCCTTGAGTGACAAAGTAAGTAAGTAAATAATAAAAAGAGGTTTTCCTTGGAAAACAGAAATGCACAAAAAAGAAAGGGTCCATGTTCCCTGTCCCCTCCATTCGTTTCAAAACACATGGCAACACCTCCAGAGACCTCAGTCCTACAAACCTGAGGCCTGGGACTCGAGGGTGCCCTCACCCTGCCGTGGATGACCACCACGTTCTGTGGATGACCACACACTCACCCTGCCGTGGATGACCCTGCCGTGGATGACCACCACGTGCCGTGGATGACCACACACTCACCCTGCAGTGGATGACCACACACTCACCCTGCAGTGGATGACCACCACATGCCGTGGATGACCACACACTCACCCTGCCGTGGATGACCACCACGTGCCGTGGATGAACACGCACTCACCCTGCCGTGGATGACCACCACGTGCCGTGGATGACCACACACTCACCCTGCCGTGGATGACCACCACGAACCGTGGATGAACACGCACTCACCCTGCCGTGGTGATGACTCACCACGTGACGGGCTGACCACGCACCATCCACCCCTGCCGTGGATGACCACCACGTACCAGTGGAATGACTACAGCACTCACCCTGCACGTTGGAGACACACACTCACCCTGCAGTGGATGACCACACACTCACCCTGCAGTGGATGACCACCACGTGCTGCGGGTCACTGTTCAGCCAGGACTCCTGTGCCTTGCAGATGGTGCACACCTTGTCCAGCGGTGGGGCATGCAGCTCGGGCCAGCCCACGTCCAGGATCTGGAAAGACAGGGTTTCCTCAGTCTCCACGCCGGGGCCCTCAGAGGCCACCGCAGGAAAGCTGTTTCATGACAGATTTCGCCTGAGGGTAAGGAACCAGCTACGTGGGTCAGGAAAGAAAAAACTAAAGAGTCGGTTGCCCTGGGAGACATCTGTTCTGAGGTCTCATCTGCTCCCCCGAGCTGGCTGCGGCCTCTAGGAAGGGCTCTGGGAGGGCACGCTGGCGAGCACCGAGACCCGGGCCTGGGCCCAGCTGCTGCCCAAATTCCTCCATTCCAGCCAGAGTCATGTTTTGGGAAATTGCAGTGAGTCTCCCCCCAGAACCAGAGCACAGATAAGGACTCGGGCAAAGGCCCAGGGCATCTGCTGAGACACAGGCACCCCTCCCAGCCTTGGTCACAGACAGAGTCATCTCCACGAGCTCAGGACAGCAGGTGTCCGGCTGCAATCAACACCCGAGCTCTCGGCACCCTGAGCTACCGGCACCCGAGCTCCCGGCACCCTGAGTCACTCCTCTGTCTAAGGGGGGGGGGGGACAGAGCTCTTCTTATAAAAGCAGCAGAAACATGTAAAATACTGGAAACTTCCAGAAAATGGCCAAGAAGCAGGAACATTCCCACAACCCGTCAGCTCTCAGGCTGCGACAGGTCCCTGAGGCCTCGGGCTCGTGCAGAGCAGAACTGCTCCTATGTCGAGCCCGGGTCCTGCCAGGCCGCCCGCAAACAGACAGCTCAGCATGACTGTCTGTCCTTCTGTGGCCACAGGTGTTCCGACCTGCACACAGGGCCCGGCAGCCACCTTCAACGTGTCCCCTACGTCTCTGCTATTAGAACGACAGCCCTGGCCCATGCGGCTCGGCAGTTGGAGCATCAGCCCGCAGACCAGAGAGCTGCAGGTTCGATTCCAGTCAAGGGCTTGCACCTCGGTTTCGGTTCGTCCCAGCCCTGGTCGGGCGGTGCGGGAGGCAGCCAGTCGATGTGTCTCTCTCACGTGGATGTTTCTCTCGCCCTCTCTCTCTCTCTCCTTCCCACGCACAGTCTGAAAAATCGATGGGAAAATACCCTCAGGTAAGGATTAAAGAATAATACAAAAATAGACAGTGGGTGGAGGGAGCGTGCTGTACGGAGGGGCAGAAGGAGCCCTGAGGGGACACGTCCCGCGCTCTGGCGGGTCCTCGACGCCGAGACGGCCGAGAACCACACACGCATGAGCGCACAGGGCTGTGGGCATGCCCATGGAGACGCCAGCCGACTTCCTGCTCCGTGTCTCTGTTAGTTATGCAGATGAAGCCGCTGGGAGCCAGGACCCGAGGCACAGGGTTACTTTCACAATTTTCTGTGTGCCTGTGACTATTTCAAAAAACAATTTTATTTTTTTCATCCTCACCCAAGGACTTCATTTTTGCATTTATCTTCAGATAAGGCAGGAAGGAGAGAGGGAGGAAGAGAGAGAGAAACATCGATGTGAGAGAGACACATCAAGTGGCTGTCACCCACACGACCCAGCCAGGGCCGGGGACAAACTGTAACCGAGGTCCGTGCCCTTAGCGGGAACCGAACCCGGGTCTCTCTGGACCGTGGGCCAACGCTCTAACCGCTGAACCAAACCGGCCAGGGCTCAAAGGAACATGATTTTAATTTTAAAAAAGCACCCCCATGGCCTGCCTGTCTGTCTCAGTGGTTAGAGCGTCTCAGGTGTAATTCTGGTCAAGGGCACATACCTGGGTTGCAGGTTCGACCCCCGGCCCTGGTCGGGTTGTGTGGGAGGCAACCAATCGGTGTGTCTCTGTCATATGGGTGTTTTTTTCTCTCTCTCTCCCCCCCCTCCCTCCCTCCCTCTATTCCACTCTACCTGAAGATAAATGGAAAAATATCCCTAAGTGAGGATTAACCAAAAAAAAAATAAAAGTAGCCCACAGACACGAGCAGTTCCTGCTACCCTGTCAAACCCCGTCGGGAAAGGCCGGGCGTCCGGGCCCGAGACGCTTCACAGACTCTGAACACACGGGGCGAAGGGCCGTACCTTGGGGTTCAGCTTCGTGAGGTCGCATCTCTTCCCCGAGAGGTTCAGCACCTGCAACGGCGGACAAGAGCCCGTCAGACAGGCCTCCAGGGTGAGAGGACACAGGCCCGCCCTGTGCGTCACAGCAGACTGCACAGGAGGGGAGCATTTAGGGGTATCGTTGTCACCGAAGAAAAGTAAAATCAAACAAATACAAAAGAATGGCCCACAACCCTGTGGGACTGTCCTCGCCCCAAGAGGCGGGCTCCTGAGGAGGAAGGGGACTCGCAGGGGAGGGTCTCGCCTCGGGCTGGGGGCCCGGCCCACGAGCACCAGGCAGGTGTGCGGGACCAGCGAGGGTGATGAGGACCCGGCTGTACCCCTGGACAGAAGAAACCCGGTGGGGCAGCAGGGGGCCACTGAGGGGAGGGACCGTCTGCAGGGGACGGGGTGTCTCTGGGCCCAGGGAGGCCCCACCCAGAGTGAAGGTGAAACCTCCAACCCCAGACCCTGTTGTCCAGGCCCCAAGCCGCCCGTGGCGGAGGGGACTCAGAGCCGCTACGGCCTCTGTGAGAAAGGAAGATGCCCCAGGACACTGAGGACGGGGTATGATGGCCCCAGGGGCATCCACACAGCTCTCCCTGCCTGTAACAGGGGGCGGCGGTGGGTCCTCGGGGACCAGGAGCCAGGGGCGCCCCTCCGGTCCAGCACTAAACTGCTCCTAGTTGAGGGGTCACCTCCCCATCCCCACTCGGTGTCCCTCCCCATCCCCGCCCGGTGCCCCTCCCCGTCCCCGCCCGGTGCCCCTCCCCGTCCCCCCCCCCCCCCCCGCCTGGTGCCCCTCCCCGTCCTCGCCCGGTGCCCCTCCCCCCCTCCCCGTCCCCGCTCGGTGCCCCTCCCCATCCCGGTGCCCCTCCCCATCCCCGCTCAGTGCCCCTCCCTGTCCCTGCTTGGTGCCCCTCCCCGTCCCTGCGCTTGGCTCTGCTCACCAGGTAGTTGTCCCCGTGCTTGGACCTCAGCATGCGCGTCACCTCCTGCAGGCTGTGCAGGTAGGACTCCTCGGAGCAGCCCGCGGGGAAGGACACGGCAATGATGCGCTCGGTGACGTAGGTGAGGTCCAGCTCGCGGCTGTCCTCCATGGCGAGGCTCAGCGCTGCCGGCCTAGGAGAGAGAGGGCTGGTCAGCACCGGGCCACACCAGGAGACACAGCATGGGGACGTGGCTCACGGGCTCCCACGGCTCGGGAGACAGGGGCTTGGGGACCCCTGTCTGCATTCTGAGTGTGCTCTCATCACAGACACGCTCTCTCCGTGTCCCCCGCCGTCGTGGCCGGGACCACTGTGCAGGGCCCGGGGACACCAGATACCTGCAGAGGGAGGCCGCCCAGAAGGTGAGGGTCAGAGGGCCGGGTCCTCGCTGCCGGGTCAGCGCTAGGCCGCCGAGACAGCGAATCAGGCAGGGGCGCTAGAGCAGAGCCCAAGGCTGGGAGGGGCCTGCTAGTCTCTGTGTCTGCAGGTGGCAGCCTGGGGGGGGAGGGCGCCGGCCAGGGAGGAGGCCTGCTGGCTGGAGGGCTGGGAAGGACCTCAGTGGCAGCACCTGGGAGGGACACTGGCCCGAGGAGAAGGGACAGCTGGCGGCTGTCACCTGAGACAGGGCCCAGGTGTGGGAGGATGGACCCGGGGGAGGGAGCAGGGCAGGAACACCTCCGGCCAGGGGGAGGGCGCAGGGGAGGGCGCAGGGGAGGGCTGGCAGGTGGGGGCAGCAGGACAAGACCTCCCGGCACTGGGGCTGTGCTGGGGGCCCGAGTCGGGGTGCTGTCTCGGGTGAGGGGAAAGTCCAGGGCAGAGGTGGCGAGGTCGGCCTGATAGTGGCAGCCAGCAGTGAAACCTCAGGGGACACAGGACATCTGGGGACAGCGGTTCCCATCTGTCAACATCACGGTCACCAGCTGTGGGGCTGGTGGCCCCTGTTCGTGTATCTACAGCCCTGGTTACCCGTGTTTCCCTCTTCCTTCGGGGAGAATTCAGAGGCCTACAGAATGGTCTTAGCCCTCCGTGTGCACATTCCGACCCTGGGGCCCACCCCCCGCGCACCCCGTCCTGCACGCGGTGCTCGGAGAAACCCCAGATGTCGTCACGTTTCATTTGCAAACACTCAGCATTTGTTTCGGGACGATACAGACACTGTGGGAGCAGCTACAGCGCCACCGTCACACCTCAGAGAGGCGAGGCTGCTGTGATCTAACACCGTAAACGTATTGCTTGAAGTGCTCTGTTCTCGTCGGGATGCAAACCATTAGCAGGACGCTCTCCCTCCTTCGCCCACGACAGGCAGGCGCGAAGGAGTTTCCAGCCAGTGTCTGTGACCTGGTGTGGAATCAGCAGCCAGGGTCCCCGAGACTGTCCCCGCGTGATCGCGGGCTGTGCCCTCCCCGCAGCTCCTGTGAACACGGGCACAGACGCAGCCGCACGGGGCAGCGCCAGCCCGGGACACCCCGAAACCGCACCCGCTCCTCGCCACGCCTCTGCAGTCGCTCATCGAGAGACAGGCTCCCGGGACTGGGGCCTCTGGTGCTGGGAGGTCACATCAGACACAGACCTTACCTGCTGTACGTCACCTTTGAACATTTACTTAGAAAACCCAGAAAGAGAGGAAGACGCCTCAGAGTGGACGGGCCTCATCTGTGGGGCTGCACCATGACCCCAACCCCCGGCAGCACACGGTGATGGACACTCACCTGGACGGCCGGTCACAGCAGAGAGACTCGGACAGCGAGGCGCGCCCCGGGGCCTGGGAACAAAGACACAGTCACGCTGCAGCCCCGTCCTGCAGGTCCGCATGCCCACACCCCAGGGGGGAGGGGGAGGGGTGCTCCTCTGTTCAACCCTAAAGGGACAGCCCCGACCCGTGATGCCGGCTCCTCTCGTCACTGCGAGGACATCTGCTCTATCAGGGGATCAGCCCTGGCACACGGGTCAGAGTTCCGTGAGCCAACAGCAGGACCCCCGCAGGCCAGGTGCCCAGCACGCGAGTCTCTGTGGATGGGGGGGGGGGCTCCGTCATCATCAGCAGTTAATGTCATCATGCTGTGGGCAGTGACTTGAAGGAACCCGGTGGGAATTCCACACCCACTTGTCTTCTTGAAGCCTATGCCCAGGAAGGCGGGCGGGGGGCATGCCGCCCCCGTGTGCTGGGCCTGTGCACCAGGCCCAACTCTCTCAGGACCACCCCACGGGGGAACCGGGCCAGAGGGCTGCAGGCAGCGGCGGGAGACGCCCACAGCTGAGCGCCCGTCCTGGCCCTCGGCTCCTTCCTCTCCTGCCCTGGGCAGCACCCCCCCCCCCAGCACTGCGTCTCCAGGACTCTGCTCGCGGACCAGCCGGGCGGGCACACAGCCGACAGGATGCTGGGTCGGTGCCCAGCATGCTCAGAGCCTGCCTCAGTGGACCCGACAGCCGCCCTCACCTGGGTCCCTCCGAAGGGACAGGGAGGCTAATTCCAGGGATCGCCAGGCCCGGCGCTTCCCTGAACTCACAGCAACACAGCTCCTCAGCCAGCAGGGTCAGGATCTCAGCCCCAAACCGAGGCAGGACCTGGCCGCACCCCCACCGGCCCTCGGTCGTCCGCGTGGGCACCTGGCCAATGCTTCCTCTACTGTCTCCCCTGCCGAGATGTCTGGGCCCTGACGGGGACCCACCAGCGGTCGGAGCCCAACCCCACGACATGCTCTGCAGGAAGGACAGACCTGGCCCCGCGAGCCTCCAGCCCAGGGCCCAGCACTGGTCCTGCGAGGACGGGGGCCACCTTCCCTGCGGCCCCAGGCACTGTGCCCAGGCCTGGGCTGTGGCCAGGGCTCTGCAATGACTCAGCCGGTTGTCCCCAGACCCTCCCCAAACTGGAACGGCTCAGACGAGACCAACTCCAATGAGATCCGCCTAAGAGAACAGCCCCGATGAAAACAGACAGGTTTATTGTAAAGTATCGGTGAAACGTGAACGGACTCCACAGTCCGGAGGTCAGCTGGTCAGCGCCAACACAAAGCACTTAACCGGTCTGGTGCGTGTGACTCGGCGACGCCCGGAAGGTGTCCTGAGGGATTTCCCGGGAAAGGGCCAGTCGGCCGGACTGGGGCTCCCTGCATGCGACAGACAGCAGCCTGGGACGCAGCCCGCCGCATGGCCGTGCGCGTGGACGGAGGTGTGGGCACGAGAGGTGGCGCCTGGCGGCCACAGCGCCGCTCCACCGTGAAGCGGCGACCTGCACATGCTCACGCGCACGCCTGGATGACTGTCCGGACTCCCTGGGCTGTTCTGTGACATTGTTTCTTCTACACGCATCTGCTTTTCCTTTCTACCCAGAACGCAGCTCACCTCCGTAAGTGGAGGGAGAAGCACCGGGCAGGGGCTCGGCAGACGAGCTCCCCGCAGCGCCCCGCCCGCGTGTCCGTCCCTGCTGCTTCTTACAAGCCCTCGGACTTGCAGGGTTGTCAGAGGACAGGGGCCCCTTGAGGTCTGGGCGACAACACAACCACCTTCCTTAACAGAGAAGGAACCCAGAGCTGGCTCCCTAGCGCGCTACCCTGGGGCGGGGGCGGGGCCGACGGGGCGGGGCTGAATGGGGGCGGGGCTGAATGGGGGCGGGGCTGACGGGGTGGGCAGGGCGCCTTTGCACAGAGGCCTGGTTCCCCTTAGTCTCTGGTCCAAACCCAGCCTGTCAGTCCCCAGCCTGTGACCCTCGTCTTTCCAGAGCGGGGATCACAGTCCCTATGTCACGTGGGGACCACGCAGGCGGGAAGGGAAGGCGCGTTCGCGTGGGGAGCCTGGGGTGTCCTGTCCCGCCGCGGCCGCCCTGCAGAGGGCCCGTCCCACAGGCCCATGAGCCAGAGCAGCGCTGAGCACTCGGGGACACTGCCCAGGTGTCTGCCGGGGGAGCTCTGACCTCCGGGGAGGCAGGCCCGCGGGAGGGCTGGTGTCCACACAGGCGCTGGCCGCGCGGGAGCACGCGATGGGCAGCCCGGCTGTCCGGCGACTCCAGGCCTCTGTCCAGCACAAGTAACAAGAGCTCCACTCACTCCAGCCGGGGGGCGGCGGGCAGACGCGGCCACGACACTGGCTAGAAGCCATGCAGCCTCCTTGGCGAGGCCCACACGGAGGGAAGGCCTCACGGGTCTGTGCCACCTGTGACCTCTGGGCACCCAGAGACGGGGCAGATGCCACGCGAGCCTGACGAGGGCCACTCAGTGGGCAGTGTCACGTGCCAGGGGACGGGGGTGCTTTGTCCTGACAACACACGCACACACGCACATGCACACATACGCACAAGCATCTGCGCATACACATGCAAGCATGCACACGCACACGCACACACACATATGCATGCATGCACACACATGTGCACACACGCACATGCGGGCCTGACATGGGCGCACCCTGCAGGCAGAGGGGAGCTGGAAGTGCACTCACAGGCAGCGCGTTACACCTGTGCCAGGGCCGATGCCACGGCAGTGCCCACGTCCACTGCCGAGTGAGGGGCAGGGACTTGGCCTGGCCCACGAGGCCCTGGGTGAACCAGCCCCTCCCCTCGGCCCTCCTCTGATTCCTGTAGCACAGTCCAATCCCTCCTGCCCCGGGGCCTTTGCACATGCCATGCGGGGCCTGAGTGACCCCACCCACCTGGGCAACCCTCACCAGGTTGACTCTTATTGACCCTCAAGGTCTCAGCTCAAACAGCATCTCCTCGGCAAGGGGCCCCGATCCCCTGCCCCATGTACACGTCCCGACGACCGTGTCTTCTTCACACACAGACCTTAGCGGCACAGAGACGCCTGCTGTGTGGGTTCCTGTCTAAGTGCTGCGTCCCCTGGGGAGACTCCGCCTGCCCGGCTCCGGCAGGCAGCCCGGCTCCGGCAGGCAGCTCGGCTCCGGCAGAAGCCGATCTGCAGGACAGAGGGAGGAACAGCCCCACCGCCCCGTGTCGGAGGGATGGTCTGGCCTTTCAGGAGGCCCAGGGATACCGTTTACACGACTCAGTAATAAACGCCTAGTTAGCTTTGCTTTTCAGGGTGACAAAGTACCCGAGGGGCTTAGATGGACTCGCCTTCTCACAGAAGCAGAATGAAAAGGTTGTAACGTACGGGATCTGTGGACTAAGGGGTGGGCAGGGACTCATTTAGGAAGAACTGTCCACGGAACAGCCACGTGGTGAGTGAGCATCAGCAGCTCCAGGAGCGCGCACACCCCACAGCCTGGCTCCCCACCATGGCACCTGGACTTCTCGGTGACGGGGTGCGTCTCAGCGGCTGTGCCCCCCCGAGCCCCGGCTATGGCAACACGAGTTCTCGCTGACGTGTCTCCTGGAATCCCCACCTCCGCCAGGCCCCCTGGCTTCTGCTCACCTGGGGAAGGGCAGCCCCGGATCCCTGGCCTGAGGGACGGAAGGCTGGCCCCGGCCCTCTGCCTTCCCCCGCCCTCTGGCTTCGGGGTGAGAAGCACAAACAGGCCTTCCGCAGAAGCCATCCTGGGAATCTCGGCAAGACCCGGGGACGCAGTGAGGACACCAGATTCCTGGGGCGCTGGGCGGTGTGCCCTCCACAGGCCGACCAGCCAGGGACACCGTGGGAACAGCTCCGTGAAGGAACGAGAGTGTGTTGCGTAACTGCAGCCAGACTGACAAGGAGGCAGGCCTGCCTGGGGCTGGTGGCAGGAAGCCCATGCCCGGGCCGGGCTGTGGGTTCAGGGGCAGATCGGCTGAAAGGCCTCTGCACACTTTCGGTGTCCTCCGGCCAGTGCACAGGAAATAGACGTGAAACCTTTTCTGAACGAACAGCCAGCCACGATCAGCTGACAAACCTGAAGGCGTGAGTCTGTCTGTTCACTCACCACCCGCAGCCCACATCCTGGAATCCCAGCGCCTGGGGCTGTCTGACCCTGGGGTTCACTCAAGCTGCCCGGACTCGGTCTGCTCCCCTGGAAAGTGGGGCAGTTACAGGACTACAGAGGACGCGTGTACGGGGCTGGGAACAGCGGCGTCTGGCCATTCATCACGGCTAAACAGACACCAGCTATGAGCTGAGTGGCCGTCTGGGTGCCAGGCGGGGACGCCCTGGGTTCGATCTCCCCGCACCCAGGCTGCACGCATGGCCGCTGGGCGCACTATTCCACAGCCAGAGCCACAGCAGACGGAGGGGACTCTCCAAGGCCGGGTGGCCAGCAACACGCGCGTCCCTCCCGGAACAAGACCCCGGTAAGGAGCTCACGCCAGGACTGCCCACCCTGAACGGCAGGGACTAGAGCGACAGCCAGAAAACCACCCGCTGAAGCCAGGAAACGGAGCGACATCATTCTGTCCCGAGTGCCTCCAGCAGCCAGGTGCGCTCAGACTGAGATCGTATCTGCGCCTCCGTGTTCCCCGAGCCTGGGGGTTCTGAGCCATATGGGAGGAGGCGGCTGGTGACGCAGAGGAGCAGGCAGACGGCAGGGTTTGTGTCCCTGGGGCTTTCGCAATCACGTCCGCCGGCCCAGGGAGCCTGGCGGGGCAGCAGGGACCTGCGGGGCTGCACCCAGTGAACTTCTGGGGCCCCTGAGCAGAGCAAAGACAGGAGCGGGTGGAGGAGGGGCGGTCAACTGCAGCGGGGACCTGGGGACAGAACTCACTGCGCTGGGAAGGGGCTCCCCCGGCGGCTTCTCCGGAAGCGGCTTCCCTCCTGCTGCCTCGCTCCTTCCCTGCCTCGTCCAGCACCCCTCCCTGCGCTGGCCTGACGTGGCCGCAGGTGCAACTGCCCGCCCCCGTGG